TTTAGGGAATTATCCTCTTCTTTTGAAGCATTTTGTAATTTCCGGTGCTGAAGGCAATCTAATACCTCCTTGCGGGGCTTTATTGAGGATTTTTCTTTTAGTCTTAGAGGCACTTTCACGAGTTTCAGAAAGCTTTTTTGTTGTTAAGTCGACTTAAGGGAACTTTAAAGCCGTTTTCCTCGATTTTAAGCGATTTTTAGATAGAATTTAATCCAGTTTCAAAAGAATCTAAAAGACGTTTTGAAAGGTTTTTTAAATCATCTTTAGGATGTTTTATTGAGGATTTTAGGGCTTAAAGAAACCTTTAGGTGTTTTTAAGGAACTTTGAAGCCATCTTCAAGGTACCTTGCATGGTGTTTTAAGATGAATTTGAAATAACTTTAAAAACATACTGAATGACAAACGTAGCAAATTTTAAACGAGTACCATCCTTTTTTAATAAATTTATCCCGATTTCCGGTCCTGAAGACCATCTAATATCCTTTTCCAATGCTTTATCGAGCCTCTCAGCTTCACCCAACATGCCTCGTTTCCGCCTGGCCATTCCCCTTGTTTCCCGGTCTTATTTATTTCTGTTTTCCTGGGCCGGGCCAGTAATCCGGGAAGGCGTTTAGGGCCCCTCCTTTCAACTCTACCGCATTGGGTCGACTAGGAGACTCGCAAAAAAAGGGTGAAACACTGCCAAATGGTCGGGATTCGGTGATTTTCTATAGTATTCTTGTGCTGTTGGCTATATCTTTTATTCAAAAATGATTGCTGGTCGTGGGAAGTCGCTTGGCAATTATGAGTGGTAGGTTTTTTTGATCTTAAAACTATTTTTTTTGGTACCGGCCTCTTAGCGGGGGGAAACTGATTTTTCCCAGTAATCCTGTACGGTCGCAAAATCAAAAATAAACCATATTTATAGCATTTCGCGCAGTTTTTTTGATAAAAGAAATTCATAAATGTAAGGCTTACCTACAACGACAAAAAGGCTTAATTTTTCGAAGCTACAAAAATCTTTAAAATATTTTTTGTAACCTTCTAGCAATCAAAACTTACTAAAAAAGGCGTGTGCTGTTATTATTATAGACGGAAAAGCAAAAATTATTATCTCCCCCCTGTTAAGAGTCCATTACATTTTTTAAATCGGTTAAACTATTTGTTAGAAAAATTTGCGTCTACTGGAAGTAGATCAGGTCATATAAAAAGCGCGGATTTAGCTATAAGAGGATCTACCTATTTTTCAGTGACATTTTATGCAAATTTCTTTCTCTGATGAATCCCAAAGTTATTTTCCGCCAATCCTACCTTAAAAATACGCCCAAAGTCATAAAGCGACCCCCAGCACCTTGGAACCCTCGAAGGCATTTAAATCGTTGGTGCGTTGGCTCTAGAACGACACAAAAGCCAGCGGGAGGTTGGTGTGGCCCAAGCGACGAACGCCTTCCGCTTTGCCCTCCCATAACAGACATACGAGAACACCGTAGAGAGAGAACCAACACACTATAGAGCCTTTACCTCCCCTTCACACCACTGCCATTGAAATGACTTTCATAGAACAAATGGCACCCAGCCAATGCGATGGCCATTTGCGCGCCTAAGTCTACGTTCAAATCGGCATGTTATTATTTTTGAAAATATTTAAGGACCTAGTTTTGATTGGTTTTCATCTCTCATTTTAATCGTTTTCGTCCAACTGAAATTTTGATTTACCGAAAAATACCGTATGCTTCTTTTGGTTTTGCCTGTGAGTTAAATTTAGCGCGAAAAAATATTCCCTTTTGCCAGATCACACAAGCTTTTATTTTGTAGGCATTTTGGGTACTGGACTGTTAGCGGGGGGAGGGTTTAGCAGGGAAAACTAAATTTTCCCAGTAATGACCGAAAAATGCAAAATCACCAAAAAGGTTCGAATTTCCAAAATGCTTAAAATATTTTTTGTAACTTCCTAGCGATCAAACCCTACTAAAAATGTTATAAAAATGATACCTATTTACATAAAAATACAAAAAAGGCATAGACGGAACCAATAATTAGTTTTCCCCTCTGCTAACAGTGCAGTACCCAATGTTATGCGTTACAATTTTCTCCCGCCCCGTCCGTGTTCCTATTAATGTGTAAATCTCAATTCACCACGATTCTTCATAAAATTAAGTTTATTCCCAAGACAATACATCTGATAATAGATAACATAATCAAATTAATTGAAATCAATTTTGCCCGTAAAATCATTAACGACAGCGTCAAGTTCAAGTTCAACATCATCATCCCCCCAGGGTACAGGCGAATAGGTCGGCGACTTTGGGTCTGGTACATCATCGTCATTGGCCCAAGAATGGGGTACGAATTCAGAATCGGATTCACAATCAGATTTGGGGGTTGGTGGATAAGTACGTGGTTTCCAAAATTCATCATCGGAACTCGATTCGCAGTATACAAAATTATCATCACAATTGGTTTCCGGGGTTGGTGAATAGGTGGGGGTTCGTGGCTCCCAACCATTTTCTTCATCGGAATTCGATTCAAAGAAGCTGTGCTCGAGGTCGTTGCCCCCTTCGTCGGCGAGTGATTCGAGTTCTGACTCCGAGTCGTCGTCGAACGCGATGAATACTTCGATTTGCTAAAAAATTTAACGTTGAAATTTTTAGGTAAGGTATCCATGGTTATCTCAAGGTGTCGAAATTTCATTATGCCTAAATTTACATAAGAAAATTTCGCGAAAAACCCAAATCATACCCACAAAAAAATTATTTTATTATACCTTATCGCTGGTCGCTTAAAAATTGAATTCCGAGACTACGTTATAAGGCAACTACAGAAAAATCGTATCGAACTAGATATAAATTTTCTATACTATTTTATAACTACGAAACTACCTTTTATATCTTTTTAGTTATTTACCCATTTAAAAAAACTTACATCTTCGAGATAAACTATGCGGTCCTGGTCGAGGCAGGGGCACAGTTTCGGGAAGCACATTGTAGTGGTCTGAAAAATCAATAGATTGAAATATTTTCGAGTTATAGAAAGAGGAAAGAGAGGGTTTTTACTGAAATGACAGTTCTCAGTGGTTCTCACTAAACTGACTGGACCAACCCTTAGTGCACGTCAGGGTTATCATCAGATGTGGCCGATTTCCGAATGACCTCATAGGAGGGACAGATGTGATTTTTTATCCGTTACCTTGATAGCATTGTTGTTTTTCTAGTTACCCTCTTGGCCGTCGATTTGTCGGATTGGGGCCAGGAGGCCCAGTGGGCCTTGCCTGCCCCCGCAGCAGTAGGATGAAATTGAATATGGGGGTGGCGGTGGCGGCTCTTCAGGTCATTCCATCGCCCACCACACTTCAGATAACACGATTTACACCATGGCCATACATTGTGACAATTTAAACTTAATACGTCGACTTTTCTATACTTTTAAGGCCTATATATCTACACCTAGATACTCCTCCTGGCACTGTCCCTTTAAAATTGTGCCTTGAGTGACTTCTGCGAAAGTTTACCATTTTGTCCAAATTCCGGCAAAGCTTTCGATTTATTAGCTTTAATTTAAGCCATACTAAACGGTGTCAAGAATAGTCGCAAAGTTCCTTACCATTTTTTTTGCTAGAACAACACCGGAGCAGGAATTCCCATCCGTATCGGGTTGCGCGACTTTACAAATCCTCTTTGCATTCGGGGGTGGGGGTCAAGAAAAGCACGTGTAGTTTTTTGGAAACTTGCCAAATGTTTAATTTAAATGAACAAAATTGATTTAAATTAATTAAATTAGCTTACATAATTATATTAAGTTGGTAAATTGTTAAAAAACCTTTCCAATAGTTTGGTGATTTTTAGGGCTCAATTTCTTCCGATGCTGGACCGGAAGTTGGTCATCTACTTCGCATGACCTATTTTTAACTTATTAACGTCTAAATATTTTGATTCTAGACTAGACTTTACTTCAAATAGATTAAATACTTTTTACATAATTATATTAGGCTAGTAAATGTCCAAAAATAAATTTGAAAGCCATTTGATGATTTTAAAAGCTATATCCTCCGATGTTTCGCCAGAAGTTGGTCATCTACTTATGACCAACCATTTTCACCTAATTAATGCCTAAAACCCCTTCCATACCTATCACCAATTATTTGGCGGCAAAATTTGATTGACTTGGGGGGTATCGGAACGGAACCGTTAGCTTTTGATGGGGGGTATTTTTGCCGGAGATTTGCGCCAAATACGGCGACTAGCCGACGGGGTAGCAGGTGGAATTGGATTTGTTCGGCGGGGCAGCACAGGGCGGCTATGTGTAGAACACTCCGAAAAAAGAAAGCGGCAAGACGTCGTCGTGGTGCGGGGATTAGTATTGTACTGTGATGGGGTGCCGGGCTAGGCATTATTTCCACCCTAATTCGCGGATATTGACGTTGACGGCTGAATTGTGGGATCGGCATGAGGATAAAAAGGAAGAGGCTGCAGGAAATAGGTTGGTTGATTTTTATTAGTTTTAAATTTTCAAGATAAAAACTTGAACATTTTAGGAACACTTTGGAGTTGTTCTAACACGGTTAATAATTCTAGATATTATATAATTTTAACGGGTTTTGCTGCCATTTTCTGTCATCTTGGAAGAGTTTTATCGCTTAAATGAGTTTTAACGGACTGAAACAGGTTTTAAAGTATTTTAAGTGGATAAAAAAACAAGGTTTTATTGCCTTTTAAAAGAGCCTTGAAGCCCGATTTTATGGGTTTTCCGGCTATTTTTAACCAAGGATTTAATTTGTGTTTCAAAAGCTCCGTGAGGAAATTTTTCAAGCGATTTTCAATTTTTTTGAGAAATTTCAAAGTGATATTTTAAGGTTTGTGATTTTGCTTTGAAAGGGCCGTTGCAGTAAGTTTTTAAAGAACGTTGAAACCAATTTTAAAGGATTGTTAAATAGACAATTTTAAGGCCGTTAAGGGTCGTTTTTAATTCCGCCTCAAAAATGCATTTTAAGCTTTTCAGGGGAATATTGAGGATACCTTAAAACCCCCGCTTGTAATCAACGATAAAATAACATTATTTCCCCCACGTTTTGTTGTACTTTGTCGTTTCCCCAACCCCCCGGTCGACCCCATAATTGGAATTGTGGCAGGGGGAAGAGAAGTCGAGTTGCGTACCTCTCCCCCGTATGCAATCCATGGTTGATTCGTTGCCGAGTTTGAGGGGTTAGGGCCCCGGGTGGGCCCATGAGGGCCCCCTCTGACCGGGTGAATAATTCGGCGGATCGTGGACGGGCGGCATTTCACGCCGACTGGCCGGACGACGCGGACCGGGAGGGGGAGAAGCACGACTCCGGATTGTGTACGGGGGGCACCGGCCAATGTCCACTCGATGGCTGCGCGGGGGGCAGTTACGCGCATTGTCGAGCGTTCGATTTGTGTATTGCTATTGTTATTTTGCGTTTTATCGAGTTCGGGTTTGATTGTTTTGATTTTGCGTCAAAGCTACAGATTAGGCATTCCTTAAGGTGCATAACTTGTTGAGTATTCTCTCCTTAGTGCGTGAATTTCATTGCTAACCTCTATGTGCCTTTAACTACCAAAAATGGTTACGGTATCTGTTAGTATATAATTAATGCGTCCAGAGCATCAGCTAGCTTGCCCTTAAAGGGACAGGCAAGGTATGACTGCTATGGATTCGCGGGCTATGGATTCTCCATCGGTCTGAACGCTCCGCGATACGCAACGCGTACAACACCTGGACGAATTGCTTACCTTAACCAATTACGCGATGGAATGGACCGGTACGCATTGCGTATCGTAGCTGCGACAAAATCCGTAGTAAACCCATAGCCAGTAAAATCCGGTCAATGCCTTGCCCGCTCTTTTAAGGCAGCTTTATAACTAATCTCCTTCTCCTTAATGCGCATAGTCCTGTACCCTTTCCGCGTAATGGGCCAATATCATTATGCATTGATTCACCTTAGTTTACATAAAATTTTTCTAGTTAGCAAAAAAAAATACGCAAATTCGGGAACTACACGTCGCCCCGACCACGTAATCGAGACGCCCCTTCAAAAATTAGCGCTCGCCCGAATAAGTTATAACCTCTCACTAGGTACCCCATCGATTTTCCACTCATCCAAACAAAACAAAACAACCATGGAGAGCGTCCAGCAAATTTTTGGCGTCTGCCCACAGCGCTCTAGGGTGTGCTTTTGAGGAGCCGGAATCCAATCAACCACTTAGTTTTGCAAGCTTGAACCCCTGTGTTTCTAGGAGCGCGCCGTACTTTTGAGGGCTTCTGTTCTTCCTGCAGGTTTTGCGTTTATTTAGTCGATTTAGGCGACTCAAATTATTTAGTTCATCCAAATTCAAATTATGCCCGCGATGGCACAGCAGATAATAATTTTTAAGTTTTTTTGTAAAAATCGGCATTTTCTGTATTTTTCGTTGGCTCGGCATTACGAAATAATTTGAATCCAGTAATTTGGATTTGAGGTTTAGGAATTCCGGATTCGGTAATTCGGGATTTTGCAATTCGTGAATATCTATGATAATTACGTATGAGAAATCGAAATATAGAATTCGGGATTTTGGTAATTGAGATTTTAGAGTTCCGTGTTTTGGCACCCATCTATTTGACGAAATCGCTTGTCGCAAAAGCGACAGAAATAGGGCCCAATGTTTTAGAGGGCACGATGGATGTGCTGGTCAGTCAGCTGTCCATCCCGTTATTGCCTTACAAAGGGACCGACCGGACCCCCTCTTCAGTCCTTCCTAATCACATCCCCCCTTCACCAACCTCATCCGCCATTTTTCCGCGCCAATCCTCGCTACTCGTTTAACTTTTTAAATTTGGTTTTACCTTGATATAGAGATGCAATTTTATTATAGTTAATTTTTCATAAAGCGACGACGACAACAACAAAGGTATTTTCATAAAAAAATACGTCTTAGAATGTGATTCTGCTTCTGTTGTCTAAATTTTTAGCGTATCTCGGCACCTTTTTAGACAAAAAATTAACCCTTAACAACTTCCAAATCAAATGACGTTTCTAAAAAACGTTTTTGTTTGCTATCCCTTTAGCCCCTCCACTTTTTGTTTGCATTTTTAAGATTTTTCCCCGTCAATCCCGCGTCTATTTCCCCACTCCGGCTTAGAATATCTCACTTTGAACACTTTTTCATCTATTATCTCCTATCCTTATTACTACGATCTATAATATTCCTTTCCACACATTTCAGCGATGCTTTTCTTCTGCCCGCCCACCGGCTGACCCCAACGAAAATGTTTGCGCGCGCCAAGTTCGCGTCGCGCATTATGCGGTAAAGAATTTGTTGGGCTTTTAGGGGTTCCATATGCGCACGGATATCTAAAAAATCCGTTTCACTCCTAAAACAAATATGCAAAATAATTTTTGAAATGATGCTTGACTTCCGGACACCTTTAAAAAGTGTTTTAAAGCTATGCAACTTCTCGATATGTATATTGTTCCGTTTCGCTCATGAAACGGTTTTTTCGATGGATTTACACTTTGACAGTACCTTTGCAATGTGGCCCAAGCTCTACCTTATATTTGTAATAATATTCCGCTTCCCAAAACGGCTCTATGAGAAATATAGTCCTAACAGTATTTTTAAAGTATATATTTCACGTTTCTTTCAACGTTTAAATTAAGCTTGACGAAAATTCCGTTTCACATCTATTAACACATCTCTCCATCGAATACTAGATTTCACAGTACCTTTAAAATCCATTTTTACGTTCCACAAAATCTGTGACACCTCGAATACTAGCACCATTGATAGATTTCGACTTCTAGATATCCTTAAAACAGCTTCAAAGGCCGGCTTTTTGCTTTAATCCAGTTCTCACTCCTCTTCGACTGAATTGACTTCCGGGGTGGGCCAGGTATAGAGGGCGTTAGCGCCCAAATCATGCTGACAACTTTTTGTGTGTGCTGCCCTCCTTGCCGTCCTTTTTCCGGTCTACACCACACTCCGTTTCGCGAGCTACTGCCGGATTCCGAAGAGTCTCCTGGCGTGTGCATCGAATATTCGTCGTGTCCTACTCCTCCCTTCCCTTGGCCCGGGGCTTCACCACTGCTTTTACCACTTTTTTGGCCCGCACCCCTAGACACCCCCCAAAAATAGGAACCCAATTGATATTTTACTGCTATGAATTTTGGATGGGTACGGTGGTACCGATTTTTCTAATATTCCGTAATGCGACACATCAGGCGGAAGCATGAGGGTAGAAAGCCGAGTCGATTAAACGGATCAACGGTCGGGTTATTGAGCGAGTCAAAGGAAATATTGGATGCGACCAGACTGGAGGAGGGCCCTCGGCCTTATTATTTGGAAAAGCCGAGGAGGTCTAGGGCCAAATCTATACTTAACGATCCTCCACTCACTTTCCATCAGTACGTTACGCGCCGCAGAAGTACACGGCAGCACCGAAAGAATACGATTTTTGGTCCGACAGCACGGTTAGTTGAATTTTTGTATTTTTTGATTTTTAACGTACTTATTGAATATTCATGGTTTATCCTAATAGATGTTCCTGAAAACATGTCTTCTCGGTAATCGGTTTTTTCAAATCTTTTTTAGGCTTTAGGAAGCTTGGTAGTTATGGTAGAATTACCAGATCAGCCTGACATTATCGATTTCCTCCAAAAATGGCCAATTTTCGACGAAAATGTCGAATTTTTAGAAGGTTTTGAAAATTTTTAGGTGGGTTTTAACTTAAAATATAGTTAAATTGCACTAAAAACTATCAAAATATTTTTATACTATGTTGATAGGCGTTTCTGAACTTATACAAGAAGGTGGGCCGCTCCCGATAATGAAACAGAACCTAAGATACGCCTAAGCCTGAGCCTAAGCCCACGCTTAAGCTGAGCCTAAGCCTAACCACGCTTATGCTAAGTCAATTCGAGCTTAAGCCTAAGCCTAAACCTATTGCAAGCCGAAACTAAGCTTAAGCTAAGCCGAAACCTAACTACAATGATCAAAACCCACCAGACACCCAAAAATCCCCCACTTTAATTAGCGTATTCTACCTACGGTATTTTTGGGCCAGCCCGAATTCCGCGGTGTTCCATTGTCCATTTTGGGGGTTCGTGGTTGGACAATGCCCCCCGTATTCGGGTGTATTTTCGGGTATGCCATCCACCGGGTAGAAGCACCTGTTTTGAATGGGTGCCCCAGCCTACTAGCCACCCGCCATCAAATTCCGCGATCATCCATTGCGCTGCCTAAACATTTACGACATTGCGGGGTCCCCTGGGGGGCGTGGTTTAAAGGGAACGGGAAGGCAAATTGGTATATAGATGAAGGGTTATTTTACCTATATAAAATATCTACTATAGATTCTTAGTTATGCCACCTATATCGTCACTCTGTGCATTTTAAAGGGACTGGGACGGCCGTTTTTTATGGATCATGCATTTAATGAAATTTTGCAGGTCTTTTAATCATTTTAAAGGCAAGTCAAGTTTTTATGTTCTCATTTTAAAAAGTCTTTTTAAAACTCTTGAAATTAATTTAAAGGTTTTGCTTTGAAATAGGGTAGAATTCTCCATAGCTTATTACCTTTGTGGAATCTCGCAGGGCTTATAATTTGGTTTAAAGGCACTAGGAAGGCAGCTTATTGCAGAGTAGAATTTTACCGGAGTGTAGCGGAGTTTTGTGAAAACCGGAAAGTCATCTTTTAGTGAACAAACTGCACAAATGCTATTTAAAAATCTCCAAATCTGAAAATCCCCCCAAAAATCCGACCCCACCTGCCTATGTGCATTTTGGTGTGGTTGGCCGACAGCCTTTCGAGATTCGTGAGGTGCGATATAGGGGCATTTCATCGGGAGTACTACTCCCCCCTTTTCTGTCGCTCTTTTCTTCCCTTCCTTTTGCTTAAACCCCCCTTTTTTCAGTCCCTCCCCCCTTGGCCGCTTGTCTATAATGGCACAGGTGGACGCGAAGGGGGGTGAAGCTTCACACATACCCCCATATTTCCAGGGGAGCCTTCTGCTGTGGCCTCCTCCTCCTTCTCCTTTGCCTGGGGAGGACGAAAGCACTTTGAAAACTTATTATGCCCTATGCGTGTGGGGGCCATGGGGGTGGCGGCTTGGCTTTTGTAGAGGGGGCTAGATTGCTCGTTTTGTCATGTTGAAGCATTCGTTTTTGGGGGGGTTTTGGATGAGGTGGCGGATTCTTTAGGAACCAATTTTGGTGGGAATAGATGGGGCGGCAAGTTCAAGGAGTAGTTTTTAGGTTATGAATCTATCTAGATCTTTGTAATTGGTATTTTTATAAATTATTTTGATTTTTTACAAAATTTCTGTCTTAGCCGTAATAGCTCTTCTCAAAATTAAGTTGCTTAATTCAATTATATCAAGTTTTTTTTATGGAAAACTCGACAAAATTATGTTCTGTTTTAAATCTGAATAACATTCTTATTATTATTATTAAATTGTGGGATCCGCCGCGTTTCTATGACTCGAATTTTTTATATAATTTTTTAGATCTTATTAGCTAGCATGACTTTCATTTACTTTTTTATTTTTTCTAATAGGACTATGAAGCCAAAAGCCAACCCCTGGTTTTTACCCTCTGCCTTCCCGGTTCCTTTAACATGGAGCGGGTCTTACTCAACACAAATTTGTGGCAAATTTGAGGAGTTTATTATGTTTCCGGTTCTTATTAAAATAGCCTTTTCTGCTTTACTCAAAACGTCGAAAATCACATTGTCAAAATTCATAATGTCGAAATTTGGATGAGCAAATTTTGATATTATTAATTTCGACAGATTTTCGACGATTTTTTAGATATTTTTCTGAGCCTGAGCCTATACAAAAACTGTAAATTTTGGCCAGGTTTATTCAAGAATTTGAACAATAATCGGAAGCCTATCAAATCCTAAAATGTAAACGATAGATTTTTTTGAATAAGAAAAGCTCTGCTTTCAAACTCTCAAAAATTTTTTTCGGAACCCCCTCTTCCACATCTAAACCGTGAACGAACCGTTGTGTATCTGTGCGTGGATCGATCTGCCGACCCCCCGCGTGAATCTGTGCCCTCCCAAACAATTGAAAGGGGGCCCTCTGCCAGCCGAGCAGCCCCTGTGTGGCCACATGTTGACGGTGGACAGCCGAACTCCCCGTCGACGACGACGCCACCACGTTTCAACTCTCGGCCTCCCCGTTGAGCAATGAATCTGGACGATAGATCGGCTGGCCATCTACTCAGCACAATCCCTGAAGTTTCTGAGGGGACCACGGCGAACACGCCCGAGTTCTCGTTGACACCTCATCTACCGAGGGCCGCGCTCGGGAAGCTGTTGAGGAGGGCTAATCCGGGGCAGCATGAGATACAGTAGGTCGTTCAAGAGTATGGTGTCTGGGTGCCCGTAACGGCGCTCATCATTTCTAAAAAATTTTCATCGCTGCTTTTTTGCCTTTAGAACTTTTCGAAAATATAATTTTTATTTATAAATATCTTTTTATATCACATCTCTGTCTTTATAGAAAAACGAGTTTTCGAAAAGCCAATTTTCAGAAATATACTTTAGTAAAATGTTTTTACATGGAAATTACCGTAGTACTAATGGCGTTATGGTTACTGTATCTGTAAATATAGGAAATCTATCCATCTTATTTATAGTAAGTTTAACCATATATATTAAAAACTTTTATAGTATGAAATTGCCATTTTCCACGCATGGTAAAATATCTTAAACGCCAACGAAAAATTTCTGTGTAAATCGGATTTTTAACTTTTATTCGCTGGTATTTTCGCAAATAGAATTTTAGAAATGACTGTTTTAGAATAAGTTATGTTATTCTTTTTTAACGTACGGTATGCTCTGGAAAATTATTAAAATATATCGTAGTTAACTTTGACACTAATTTTTCTAAAACGCCAAATCTCGGCAAATTTCGTGGTTCTGGTTGTATAATTTCAACCAAATTACTGTACCATTGATACCCCACTCATTTTCTACCCGGTCTAAATTATTTTTAGCACTTTCTAAACGTTTCCCACTCCCATTTATTGCCCTTGTTTTTCTGGGCCCAAAACGGCCTCCCGAGATTTTTTGGGCCCAGCCCCCTTCCCCCTCGCGCAACTTCCTGCGCCCTAGATGGAGCAACATATAGGCCGAAAAAAGGGAGCTGGGGTGTTACCGAGTGGATTGCGGGGGGTTGAGGGCGAGAGTTGGCCCTGGGATGGGGCCCAAGTAAGGGGAGGCCAAAGCAGATGTCCCTAGGGGAGATCGGGGGGACTCGCGCTCGCACCTCCATTCCGGCATGCACCACAAGTCGTCGAATAGGGGGGAGTAGGAGGAGAAGGAAGACGAGCAAGAGCGTGTGCACATCACCATGACCTCGAAGTTGGGATTTTGAGTGGGAATGACTGGATGGAGTATTTTAGCTTCAAGCGTTGGTTAAGATAAGAAACCGGAAACGGTTGTTGAGCCAAAAGGGCAAAAGTTGAGACGGTAGAGAAAAAATTTGGCTTGTTGTAACTTTCCCAAATGAACTCGATTTCACGGTTTTTAGAGTGGGATTTAGCGTCTTAAATGAAACAAAGCACAATGGATTAACCTACCGTAATACCACTTTCCCGAAAACTCCAAATTTAGATTTCGATGTTGTTTTAAGTACTGTAACGGCCTATTGCAATCTAAAACTTTAAATTCTTGTTTGTAATTTGTTTAGATGCGAATTTGTAAAACCTAGAAGGCTAATATTTTAAAGTTTTGTTCTGTCGATGATTATTCATAAAAACAGCTCGTTTTACTCTGCAACTTTCGAAATAATTTTTCATATTATTTTTAGTTTTAAAATCACAGTTTCGATATGAGTGTTGATTGCCTAGCCTCTAAATTGCTAGTTGGAGCCTGGAAACATATATAGAAATTAGAATAAGAAACCAAAAACTCCCAAAAAAATTCAAATCACCCCGAACTTTCACACATTTTCAACACCCCTTGGCCGTTCCTCCAGCGGCTCGGAATATGAATTTTTTTTTTAGTGCCCAGGAGCCCTTAAAGGTGGGGCGAAGGGCCGTTCATTTTTTGCGGGGGGCTTATCGCCGGGTGAGGGGGGGGGGGGTGAGAGACCCATCAGCGCCTCTTCAGGTGGTCCCTAGGGGCCAAGCGTGAGTGTGGAGGGCCAACGGGGCCAAAGAGTCTGGCCATTGCACCTCAGGCTCATTTATCCGAATTAGAGGGTCAGTGAAGGGTTCATCGAGATTAGGGATTAATGGCTCATGGCGGGTGTAGTTTTACGGGATTTAAATTTAAAAAAACCACAACTAAATGTTTTTAGAACTTAATAAAATGGTCTTACGGATTTCCAAAAAAACCTTCTTTCAAATTAAATTTAAATAACTTAAATAACTAAATAAAATTAAAAAACTTTAACGCTAACCTTAATTTATCCGAAATTTTAATAAAATTGCCAAGTTTTTCCAAAATTCCCCCGAATAATTCTGACTCACCCCCTTTAAAATGGTCCGCATCATCTCGTATGACCCAGCCCGTAAGTTATGCGGTATCCATGTGGCCCTGAAGGCCCCTCGTTCGACCCCCACCCCGGCGAAGGGGCAGAAAGAGACGGGGAAGAAGCGAGTGTTTTGTTCGTATTTGTTTGAGGTCCCCGAGGGGCCGTTCCCTTCCAAGCTTTTCCCTTCTCGGTGCCCTTGGTCTTCTCCCGTCCATTCATCCCGTCTGTCATCGCTTCTGAGCGTAGAGGAGGGGGAGAAGCTGCGTGCCCTCAGGGTTAGACAGGCTTCTTTAGACAACTTGACCCCCGGGTGTTTGGTGTAAGAATTTTGGGTGAAGAAATTGTAGAGGCAAGAATTTAACGTATAAAAAGGAATAATTAATGTAGTAAAAAGTTTTTGTAAACGAAGCAGGCTAATGCAGCAGGTATTGCTAATGAAGCTTTTAGCCGTATATTCAAATTCTTAAACGCAGAAATATTAGTAAAATCGATAGGCGTTATCATTAGTGCATCACTAGCTTGTTAGGTACTTGACTGTTAGCGGGGGGAGAACAACTTTTCACAGCAATCTTGTATGGTCCTCTAGCAAAATACAAACCATTTTTATAACACATTGCATAGGTTTTAGACATAAAAACTCGCAAAAAATTTTCCAAAATTTGACTATTTCGTCAAAAATTGTGTGAAAAAGACAAAAACCACAATGATCCGTTTACAAAAATTTTAAACTATTTTTTGTAACTTTTTAGCATGGAAACACTGCAAAATACATTCGAAAAAATACAATATTTATTAGTTACAAATATGCATAGACGGAAAAATTAGTGCCCCTGCTACCTCCCCCCCCCCCGCTATCAGTCCAGTACCGCTAATTAGGGCTTCTTTTCTATTTATCCTTTTTTTTAATCTGCTCGCGTTGCCATGTTATGCCTTGAGGCATTTTTATGAGCTCTCGGACATAATCAACTTTCCCTCCCTCTCTTACTCTCTCTCTCTCTCTCTCTCTCTCTCTCTCTCTCCCACTCCCTCTTCTTGATGCTAAGCACATACGACGCCTCAAGGGTCCAACTCCTTCAACCCGGAAAAACACATCCATGCTAACCCTAAAAGCTCAAACTCCCCTGGCAATCTGCCAACCTCCTCAGTACCCCCTCATAACTCCCACGTTCCAAAAAAGCCACTGATTGTCAAGAGCACCCCGAAGACTCCTTCCACCAACACCAGCTTCCTTTCCCCGTTTTTTTGAGCGAGGATTTATTACGCAAAAACGAGTGACTTGGACACCACGCTTTCTTCCATAGCCCTCCAGGAGCATGGGGTGACAAAGTTGAGGAGACGTGTGTGTATGTGTGTTTGCTTCAAAAAGGCCCTCACCCTCCCCTCATCCCCCTACCCCACCACCACCAACCTCTCCAGAAATATGGCCAGTTTTTTGAGAGAAGCCGCCGTTGGAAACACGGATTCAGTGGAGGAGGGGGAGGGAACTCTTGGGAGGTCATTAGGGGACCTGGCTGGGGTTGCTTGGCTGGGGTTGCTTTTGGAGGATTTATGGAGGAGGAATAAGGATGTTCCATCAAGGTTCTTGTCTAGGGACATCAAGCTAGAACAGAACAGGTGCAAGCTGGAAAGTTTGGTGTGACTAACTGGTGAGAGTGACCAAGAAATAAACCTCAAAATAAAAAAAAAATTAAATTTATAGCTCAAAATCATGATCGCTGTTTTCTGGGTACCGTTTTTAGAGGCGTGGCGACACGAGAATTTTTTTTTGCTGCATTCAAGCAGTCTCCCAACGCTTAAAGTGGCTCAGGCACAAGTTCTGCGGCTTACGCCTAGGCCTAACCAAAAAAAAAATCAGGTTTAAAGGGATAGCGACACTGCAATTTCTGATACTTCGTGATTCAAAAATTCAAACCAGCTTAGGAGCTGCAGCGTTGAAACCGCTTTTTCTGCCCTGCTTGTCTGTCGCTACAAGTTGAGTTAAGTGTTAGAGGGGTAGACACGTAACGCGACCGCACCGCGTCTCCCCTCGCTGATCATGGTATCTCCAAAAAATTGATCTTACAAGAAGAGCCACCCACATGGTCCTCCTGACTTAAATCGTTGATAACTCTCGGAAGGTCGCGATTCCGCAAGTTTCGTACACATGTGCGGAATCAGCGCAAAATTCTGCACAAGATAGGCTTGGCCCGAACTTGAAGCTTCGATGACGCACTCAAGTCTCCTTCTTATTAAGGATTTTACCACCGAAATAAGGCCCTGATCATAGACCCTAGACCCTAGACCCAAATCAAATCACGCCATATAACCAAATCCCAGCCCTCCACGTCCAATAATATCCGCCGCGTTCGGTGGTGAGCTTGACTTGGCCCCGCCTTCCATCCGGTTGGCCATGTCCAGGGTCCTGCCCCCCGAATTCTGGGCCTCTTCGTGAGGGTCTCTGGGTGGGAAGAGCCTCCCTCCCAATTCCCCCATGTAATCCCTGCCCTTCCCCCTTCCGAAGCATATTCCCAGATATGCACCGGACCTCCTCGCGCTGCTGCTCCTTATAGCTCGTTGGTTATTTTGGGGTATTCTGTCGGCGGCTACAGTACTGTGGCGGACCTGTATTCGAAAAGGTGCTCCAAGGAAAGTACTGTAGACTACGCTGGAAATCTATATTCCACTAGTGGTTCCGGTAGCTGATTTCGGAGTTTTTGAGCACGACGGCTACAGTACTGAAAAGCCCTAACAACTATTGTATTCCGCCCCGATACCTATTCCACTAGTTCTCACTTCCGGTACCTAACCCCCCGGAACCAACTACCATACCCCACAAAATCATCCCAACCCACCTAACAACGACGCGACAATACTCAACCCGCTCTACTTCCAGCATCAGGGCCAGCGGCGGACGTCGGCGGCCCCGGCGTCCGTCCACGCCGGCCCCCCTGGGGCTGTACCCGGTAGCAGCACAACCCCTGCTAGCAGTACGGCAGCTATTGGCCATGCACACCCTGGCACTATTAGCCCACAACTGATCGATGCCTCACCCACACATTCCCTACCCCCACCATCCTCCCCGCCGTCGTTGGCCGACCTCCAGGAGCTCAGGTAGCTGCAGGAAAGGACGGATTTTGCGGGTATACCTACACCGTTAAGTATAGTTCGATTTTATGCAAGACTCTAGGTTGTTAGATGAAATTAAGTTGTTTTTAATACACGAATAATTTGATCGGTCCGCGCTCGGCTTTTGGTTTTGGAGAAAATAAATGATTTTGCATTGTTAAGGGAGGTTTAAGGTTACACCTCTAGAACGTTTTAGCTTTATATAGTTAAAATTTTGAATAGTATAAAAGGTAATTTAGTATAAAGATTCCAAGACTTTATTTGAGTTCAATTAATTAAAACTGCGCTCAATCGGCCGTCCATTTCGAAAAATACGGATCATTTTGATTCTTTTTAACCGATATCATACCCAGATACCTTGGATCAGCTTTGAGCATCACAAAATTTTCCCAGATGACCCTAAAATTTGGCGGCTAGAACCCCAAGGATCGCCCGAATGGCCAACTTGACACCCTAGGGCCCCCCTGCTATTACCCGCTAGGGCCCCCTCTCTCAACCTCTACTCCTCCTCCTCCTCCTCACCCCCTAGGGCTCATTTCCTAATTGCGCTCGTGGGCCATGCTGGCCCTTGTCTCGCTCTTTCTCTCTGCCTCTAGGTCGCCAAAATACATACGGCTAGGGTGTGAAAAGTCAAGGGGAATCGAGGAGTATAGCGAGACGAGAAGACATGCAATTCTGTGTTTGTCTGTCTGTCTGTGTTTCTTTCTCAGGCGCTAGAATTCCTCGCCTGGTTGTGCTCCTCCAGGAATTCTGGGCAGCTAGATCTATCATCGATACCTTTCGCCCGGCCGGCAGATGACTTCACTAGGCGTTTTCTACATTCATGGGTATGGGGATTTGGTTTAAAGGGATTGGGAAGGCTGGTTTCGGTTGTTTTACATGGCGTAATTGGGTCTCGATGTAGCTAAAAGGTGAAATTTCTGGAGACTTCACACGATTTTAACCTACATAGCTGTTTTAACTTTCAAAATTGGCGGGAAATCACCGAGATCGCGAATTGCGCGTTTTGGAGAGCATTACGACATGTAATATTCCGCACTAAAAAATTCGATTTCCGCCAAATAGATTTTGTTTTTCGCAACATTTGGCGATTTACCGCTACAAATATTGTTCATTAATTTTCGGCAGTCAATTTTACCAATAGTTACACTACCCCAAAATTGCCAATTTTGACTTCTCAGCTTCTTTAAAGAACCCGGCAAGGCTAAGCAATCACGCATTTTCATGGCGTAATCAGTTGGCACCAGACACCTAATGATCCTCAAGAATTCGATACCGGTTGAACCGAGTTTGTGCCCCGGGATGTCCGTGTCGGGTTCCGCGCCCCCAGGGAGCATCCATGCCGGGCCGTTTTTCATTTTTTCGGGGGTCTGTGCCCGAGGGCATGGCCACCTCGAACACCCTCGAGCTCCATGCTCACACCCAACCCCCACAGAGCACCATCTCACTCGCAACTCCCAAACATCATCTGAATGGATGTGGTTGGGTAGAGGGGGTTGAGGTTGAGAAAGGAAAATTTGGGAATAAACCGTTCTATCGTGACGCTGCTTAAAGCACATGTTTAGAGAGTTGTACGTATACACATATGAACGTCTGCGTCTCTCTGCGTAAATAGGCGTATGCGTAGTAAAGCCTGGACGTGTAATTTAGATCAATTCTAAAGAATCTATATTTGACGATCTATAGGTGTATATGGTAATTTACACATTATTTACACTATCCGAGGTAGAAGATCAGGAAGCGCATGATTGAAATGATAATAGAAAAACGGAGACGTAAAAAGTAGCGCTTTGGCAAAAAATGGTTTTCCTATAGAATTTAGATAAAATCTCCCAACATAATTCTAGGTATAAATTACGACTCTCATTTTCTGCTTTTACCAACCCTTTAAAAACCCACTAGGCAAAAAACGGGTCGTTGTGGGACCCGGGAACACCCTTTCCCCCAATTCCCCGGCACAAAATCGCAATCAGACCCGGGTCCCGGGTTAGGGACCCATGCCACGGCTGCTGGTCTGGGCGACAATCCGATTTGGGAATCATATCTTGCGGCCCACCCCTTGGCCCTGTGGGCCCCTTCCCCCCAATCCCCCTACTCAATTATCTTCTCGCGCTCCTTATGGCCCTTTCTGGGCGTTGGCAACATTGCTCCAGATGGAGCCTGTTTACAGGCGTTCCCAGAATTAGGGGAGAGAAAAGGAGCCCCAGCCGTATGGGTTCGAAATTAAAAGAGAAATTGAAACAAAATATAGTCCCTCGGGTATGATAAAAAATAGATTTCACTTCTTGAATTGACAGGTAACTTTATAAAAACAAGCTTAAGTACAGGTAACAGCAAATTTACAAAAAAATCCAATAATAAAAATACCATCCCCTTTTCAGCGCCGAACGCCTGAACCTCTACCTCGACCGGAATGAGGGCGACTTGGAGAATATGGAGGAGGACCAGGCCGAGGCCAAAAAGAGCCCCAAGGAGCGATGGAAGAAGGTAGTTGCAGGCACCTTCAGTTTTGTATTTGTCGATTTGTTTTTGTTCGAAAGGCTCGCTCTCTCCCTCTTTTTCTCTCTCTCTCTCTCTCGCTCTCTCTCTCCATCTCTTTCTCGCTCTCTCGTTCTCTCCTCAACGCGTACTAATTGAGGTATGGGCATCGGCCCGGAAGAACGCCTTCAAGCCCGAGGTCTAGACAATTTTTTCGAAAATTCTATTTAAAGGGATTAGCAAGGGATGGTTATGGAGTACCGTAACCGACAAAAACCATCTCCATACCTTGCCGGCCCCTTTAATCGTCCTTGTGCCCGCTTCGGTGACCCCGGGTTCAACAATTCGCTGCTTCATTGGATTTTTGATTTTGCAATTTTGCTATTACCCCTGGAAATCCTGGTGCGGGTGGTGAAACAGTGAGCTGGGAATCGTTCTCAACAAAATTTGGGATTTAAAGTTCCCAGCTCACACTGTTGTTCAAAGGGACCTTCTTGAATCCATGTTTTCAGCGCCTCCGAATAGTGCTCCCCCACGTGGGACTCGTGCTCCTCTCCGCTCTCTATACGTTATTGGGAGCCGCGATTTTTCATAATGTAAGTCGTTATATAAAGCGTTACTTCGAAATACTGTAAAAACAAAAAAAATCACAATTTTCAGGTAGAAATGCCTTACGAGATGCAATTGCGCAACGAGTCATGCACACGGGTAACGGCCTACAAAAAGGAGGTACGGGGTTCCTACAGTACGCCTGAAATTTCCCTTTTTAGACGATAGAAAAACTTTGGAATTTGCGGTTAAACGGCTTTGCAGAGTTCGAGAGGACGGCCGACGATGCGTGAGTGTTTTTTAGGATTTTTAAAATGTATTATATTTTTGATTTCAGGTATTAAATAGAAAACTTTATTTTCAGGATGGACCACATCATTCGGGACGTGTTTCACGATTATACGAAGAACTATATGATCCCTGATGATATTATACACGGGGATGGGCCTGTCAAATGGTCTTTTGGGGCTTCGATATTCTTCTCGTGGACGGCGATAACGACTATAGGTTAGTTAAGGCTTAAAAATATCGTTTATTTGTTTTCTTAGGTTATCGTAAGATTCTAGGGTTTAAAATGGTTATTTAGTTTGTTTTAATAGTATTAAAATTACCATAAAGCGCTAGCATGAGACTAGACACAAATTAGAGTCTTTTAATTTGGAATTTTTCTATGTTTTAAGCAAGCAACCATTGAAACACTTTAAAAATGCCATAATATTAAAATTGTGAAAAGCCTTAAAACGATATTTGCAACTAGAACTACGTAACGCGCCAAATTCCGCATAATTTTGAAAGAACTCTGCATAAATCTGGAAATAACACATGGAAAACAGCACTTTTATGTCTCACGTAGCTGTCCAGACCTAGCTGACATTATGGGTCGATTCTGCCAATGTTTTCATCCCCGAAAACCCCCCACCGGAAGTGTTTCGAACCTTGCAAATTCCAACCTCCATCTATCACCAAACCCAAATCCACATACCCCATAACCAGCACCCCCAAATCTTTCCAATGATGGCCCTCAAAACCGCCATCCCCAAAACCACTTTTTTGTTATGTGCGTATCCCACCCCCTTCGGATTGATGCCCACTCTCCTTCAGCCACCACCCCGAAACGCCCGGGTGCTATCGGTCATGCAACTTTTTGGAGGGTGAAAGAGAAGAGAAGAAGCTCTCCTCTTCTGTCTGTGTATATGCGTGTGTGTGTCCCCCCGTATTATCCGCAGGCAATGAGTTCACACCCGAAGTGCCCCCTAGGGGATCGACAAGAAGAAGAAGCCGACCCCACACAAACGCACACGCATCAAAATCCCGGCTGGCGGGCCGTGGTCGGGGTTGAAATGTCCTGGAAAGGGATAGGGGGTGAATCTACACGAGTTTTTCGGCGGATTTGAGATTTGGGGATCAAAAGAATATAACTTTCAGCAAAGAAGTTGTGTTGCGAAAAACCGCTTCGCGGTATTTCAGTTTGGCTCGGCTGGGACCGTGATAATCTTGACTTTGCATAGTTTGACTTTGCACAGTCATCTAAGCGTTTTATAGAAGCCAGTCTCGCTTCCGGTGGACGCGAATTATTTTCTTGCGTGGAGGCTTTCTATTTTTAACCTTTAGCTTTAAACTTTAAAAACCAGTCACGAAATTTTCGCGAAAACTGATTTTATATACAAATTTCCTCATTTTTAAAAATCTGAAATGCATGCGTAGTATCAAAGCCATTACGCTCCTAATGACTACGTACCGTATATACCTTTAATGCCTTCCCCCTAGCCTGCTGATCTTGGAACTTGAAAAATCATAACAAAATATATATTAAAAAATGTGTCACCTAGGTGGGATAAAAATCTAACTCTAAAATTAATACTGGAGCTCTTCGGCCGAAAATTTTGCGCCACAACTATCGTGACGCTGAAACTAAGGTTTTAGGCTACGGTCATATCGTCCCCCGAACGTGGACAGGCCGATGCATCATCGTCTTCTACGCCCTCATCGGAATACCGTTGATCCTCGTCACCATCGCCGATATGGGCCGCTTCCTTTCTGGTAGAGACTACAAACTACAAAAATTATCACCTAATCCCAGGCGGCATCATCTGGGTCCACAACACGTCTCGCAAAGCCCTAGGCCAATGCTGGAGGCGATGCTGGCGGTACCTGAAGTGTTGCTGCTGCTACGTGCAGACAAGACGGAAACGGGCACTGCTTGATCATCTACATAATCAGCATCATCTCGCCACTGTTGACCTCGACAAGCGGAAGCTCCGAAAGCGGAATGGTCTTGATAATGTGTCCGATGCGGGCACTTTTGAAGGTTATTTTTAATTATTATGCAATTTATTCCAATATTTTCAGACATCAGCGACATTCACAATGCGGACAGCGAGGGCAAATCCGAGTCGGGCGAGACGAATGCCCGGGCTGATGAGGTGGAATTTGAGGCGCCGCATGAGAGACGCGTCTCCGTCATATTTGTCCTCTTCATTATGATTGGTAAGAAGTGCTGAATCGTCGTGATATAAATTTATATCACTAAAAAATTTAACCGGGATATTTGCAATTTGGCTATTCGAAATTAGATCTAACTGTTTAATTTCACTTAATTTTTACTTTAACGATTTATTTAACTAAAAATGAAATTTTTTGTTAATTTATAATGGCTTTAATGGTTGAATAATATCCGTAGGCAGACCAGACCTATAACAATAATCCAATATTGCAGGCTACGTCGCCGGCGGCGCGTGGCTGATCCGATTCTGGGAGAACTGGGATTTCTTCGACGCGTTCTACTTCTGCTTTGTGACCGTGACGACGATCGGCTTCGGCGACATCGTGCCACTAAATGCCGACTTTTTCCCGCTGACCCTGGCATATATCGTGCTTGGGCTGATCATCACAACAATGTGCATCGGTAGGTCAAAAAAGGGTTTTTGAACAAAACTACAAACTACAGATCTGGTGGGCAGTGAATACATTCGGGACATACACTTCTATGGACGATCGCTGGGTCGATCTTTTATGACGATTGGTGGAAAGGTATTTGGAGTTTTCTAGACAGAATTATTTCTTGAAAAAGGTTGTCCATCTTGGCGAAGTGTTTGGATACGTCGCTTTCCTGCAGAAGAATTATGGCTTGACGCCGGAGCAGCTTAATAAGCTTGCTCAACTGCCGGAGGTATGAGAATTCAATAAAATGCTTCATTTATTTATGATTTAAATAGACTTTTTAAGTTGGTATTATAAATTTACATACATATAAATTAAAAAGATAAATGAATTGACAACATTTATATTTAAGGAATATCTTCTCGACTGCCTTATAAATGGGCGGCAACCCGACTTGAATTGGATCGGTGGACGCCCCTACGTGCCGCCAGATATTTATTATTTCAAGGTATATAAAAAAGCATCATTTGCAGCTATCGAAAACCTTCATTTTAGTGGATCGAACATCCGCGGACTCTTTCCTTCGCCTCAGAACGCGTGTTGGCCAGCATGGAAAGCCTTGATCTCAACACAAGCAGGTAGGAAGAAATTTAAAACAACAATTTGAACAATTTTTCAAGTTTAGTTAACTAATTATAACGAAATTTTATATAACTATTCTTTTCCATAATATACATTAACAATTGGTACTGGTCTGTTAGCAGGGGGAGGGAATTTTAGCAGGGGGAATCTGATCTTAGTCTTCTGGTTTATATCAACCTGTGTATAATAAATGGTGTTTTTATAACGTTTTTCGTAGTTTTTGACTGACAAAAAAAAATAAGCAAAAAATTTTAAATTGTTTTGTTTAAGTTTTGCACAAAACAATTTTCGCAAAAGAGGTTTTATGTCCAAAAACTGTTTAAAAATTACAAAAATGGTTTACCTTTTGTTATAGGAGCTCACAGGACTACTGGGAAATCAGAATTCCCCTACTAAACCACCCCCCCGCTAACAAACCAGTAGTCAAAAATCTTTACCCATTCTTGATTTCAAACTAAACTAATTTAAGGTGTTCAACGGCACGCACACTGACGCCGAGGGAATACTATCAACGCATCCTCTTCCAATATTGCAAACAAATGCAACCAGAAGATGCGCCCGCCGATGCGGCCAACGAAGACCGTAAATAGTATTTTGGACGGGGAAAGCTGTAATTCTGGAGCAGAGATTTCTTTGGAGACCTCCAAATTTTGGCCCCTTCCATCACCTTTCTAGGCTTTTACGAGGTTCGGGTATCTATCTTGTGTCCATAGAATCAACGTTCTATGCTCAATTTTGCATCGTATAAAATCTTTTGTATCAAACCCAAGTCTTTTCTCTACTCTAAGTCTAGTGGCCTGCCATGCCCGGTGTTATACTCCCGTCACCTGAGAAAAATGTGATTTGAAACTGCTAATAGCGTCAAAATTTGTTCAAAAAATGAGGATTTCGCTTTAGTTGATGCATTTAGCAGATTCCCCGTTTTAAGGCTTTTTAAAGCGCATATTCAGGCATTACTACGTATAAACCTATTTACGCAGAGAGAGAGAGAGAGAGAGAGAGAGAAACGCAGATTTTGATCGGGATATACCTCAAGTGCTCTGAATCTGCGTTTTTTAAAGTTAGTAAACCTTTTTGCACGTTAAATGGAAAAGTTCGGTACTGGACTATTAGCAGGGGGAATAATTCTTGTTTTTCGATTTTTATACGTTTTAATTTCTCATAATGTATTTTTTTACAGTTTTTTGTAGTTTTTGATTGCTATAAAATGCAAAAAATATTTTAAGCATTTTTGAAAAATCGAAAACTCCGAGTTTTTTGGTCATTTTTCATACATTTTGGAAAAAAGTTTTTCTGAGTTTTTCTATCTGAAAACTGTGCAAAGCGTTGTAAAAATGGTGTATATTTCTAGAGGACCGTACAGGATTACTGTTAAAAGTTAGTCCCCCCGCTAACAGCCCAGTACCAAAAATTCTATAACCACAAAAACCTTGTCAATGCTAGCGGAAATTCTGCCAATCTTTCGCTTACCATCTTTCCGCTTTTCCGGTGTATAATTTGTTGAGGTCTTTCGTTCAAGTCAGAGTATTAACCCCCTTGCCCTCTTTTAATATTATTATTATTATTTCAAACCACACTTCTACGATATATTCCACGTGAGCACATATCTTCAGTGCACTCCTCGTTTCCACGCTTTCTTCATATTGAATTTCTGTATTACGCCCCGCCCCCTTTCCCCCAAAATGGATAATGCTCACTTATAGTGGAGTCTCTGCCAGTGTTTTTTTTTTTGTAGAATGAATTGTATTTTTGCGAAAATAAATTTGTATTTTTATCCTACACTATTGGGGACAGGGGAAAACAAATAACAAACAGATCATGGGAAATTCGAAAATTCATCAAAAACGGCATGGAACAAAACCTAGGAGACGACCCGAATTTCGGGGTGTTTTATTAAAAATGTCACCGCATTTGTGAGGGGTAAGGAAAGGGATGCAGAGGGATGCAGACCGTTATATTTTGAGCGAATTCAATGGGAATGAATCGATTATATTAATCCGGGATGCCGTCACGTGCTCATTCCAGCTCTTCGTCGATTAATTCCGTAACCTAGGGGATTAAGGGTACTTTTGTTATAAAATAAAATGCGTTCTCACTTCAATTCCAGACCTCCGCGGTTCGCTTGAAAAGTTAGGCTCGCCGGATGACATCTGAATAAAGCTTCCATCGATCACCGGGCCCTGATCAAGGTCATCGGCAGCCGTTTCGAACATGTCCGCAAGGCGCTGACAAAAGTTAGTGGGTAATTAAAACTGAATAAATTATAATTATATTAATAGTTAAGAATTTGACTAAACAATCGCGATAAACCGAGGCAATAGTACAAAAATTAACAAAATCAGTCTAGTTCTACATGATTCTCGTCGTTGTTCACAACAATAGAATCTGCCGGCTCATCCGATTCACTACCAAATGCAGCAGAAAGTTGCTAAAAACATCTTTTGGTTGGTCGTCGACGGGTTTCATTTTCAGCTCGTTTTTTTTAGCCAAAAAACCCACCGCTCGTGCACTGGGCAGTACTTGTAGCACAGCAGCGAATTGCTCAGGCGGCAGCGTCTGCTCGAATATGGTCATCAACTGCTGCGATTGGCCGCACAAGATAATGGCGTTAGCAATGTGCAAAGCGCCTTGCTCGACATTGCCTGAAGATTTTCACATCGATGTTTTAACACTTTGAAAACTATTTTTCGGCGAAAAAACCTACCGGCTGCCATCAACTCCTCGCCGAGTTGAACCTCTTGCAGGAAGAACGCCTGCATTGAAGCGGGGTTGCGCGGATCCGGCAAACCCATTGGGTTTCCACGAGCCGCCACAACCCGACCGCCCTTACGAAGTGCTTTTCGGCGACGATCTACGAGATACTGTCATTTTATCGTTCATAGAGCTTCGTTGGGCTTTGCATTAAAATGTTTCTGCATTTTCCGCAGGTTCAAGCTACAATCGACCAAGTCCGGTCATAAAATAGTAGTTTAGAACTCACTTTCGCGAACCTTCTGCTTATAGTCGGGCGCGGAACGGCGCTTGTAGTCAAAATAAATGGCATAGCCAACGAAAGCGGCCCCTGAAGGAGTGTCCTAACCAAATGTTGAAACTAAATTACCAGCAAGACCGGCCCATGTGAGCCAATTCGATCGGCTTATCCCGGCTTCTGACATTAGGCCTGGAAGAAAGCTCACAAATAATGAGTCGATATTCTGGGACGACAGAAAGAAGGCGAGGATTCTAAGAAATTATAGATTATGATTATAAAACTCGCGGGAGTGTTGAGCTTGGCATAAATGGGCTGATATCTTTCTAAGGTGAGAGCTTACACTGGGTAACCTTCTCTTACAAGCCCGCCCAGGGCCCCCATCCATGCCATGGGAAGAGATTACGGTCAGCGGGTCAAATTATCGCAGCAAAGATCGAAGCTGGTTGACGCTCCGATGGTCATGCTCGTAGTATGGATATAGCGACACAGATCTCAAACAAACGTTTATTGTTAAATATACATTGAAAGATAATATTAGTGATACATCAGGATTCAACGTTGGCTGGCTTTAGGCAAGAATTGGTGAATCCAAAAAGAATAGGATTGCCAATGGCAAACCCGGTTTGCAGAACTGTTAGTAAAAAAGACGACGCTAAGAACGCCGAGACAAAAATGATGGCTCAATCATAATTCACAGAAAAAATATGGCAAATCGTGGTACCGAGGGGAATATTTCAATTCATTCGAAGAGCTCGGCCATCTCGTTCAGGGCGTCGACGAGGGTGCGTTGGAAACGATGAGAATCCTGCAAAATAAATCTATTTAGATGGATGATATATACCGTATTCGAGGCGGAATGGTAGCTGGTGATATGAGCGCAAATCGAGTGGTTGCCGGCGAAACGATAGCAGACTCCATAACTAAAAGCAACGGGTTCTTGCTGCAAAATTGTTAATACCCGTCAGTCGTCACGGCTCCAAAGCAGGCACCAAGCCAAGAGAAGTCGGCATCAGTGTCCTCGTCATTTTGGTTGGTGACATTTGGGACCTGCAGAGAGATACATATATGCATCGGAGAAACTTTCTTACATGGCTGGTAGATAGGAACCACTTCTGGCTGAAGACCGTCTCCAAGAACGGGGAAGCAATGCCGGTGCCCTTCGAAAGCACATAGAGGACAAAGAGGTGCCTAAATATCAGGATTACATGCGTAAACCCTTGATCATACCGGTCAATGCCTTGGCCAATCATGCACTCCTTATTCTTGTTCACATGACGCTCACAGGCCTTCCTCAGCAGACGAATCTTTTCCGACTTCTGAAACAGACAATCGAGTCAAAAATCATTTAGATATACCTCAATCGTTTGATCCTGCATCGCTAGCACAAATTTGCATGATTCTTCGCCGACCTGCAAAAAAAGAATCATGGATGGGAGGTAGGGTTATACCGTTCGCAAAGTTTCTGTGCGTGAATTACGGTAGAAGCGCACAGAGGCCGGTTCGTAGGTGAAGACGAAGCGACCTTGGTCCTGAAAACAAAAATTCATGCCAACGTGCCTTGACAACTAACGCGGTATACGGCAAGCTGGAGGGCCATCTGAACGAAAGCATCCGGGCTGCAGCCGCACTTCTTGATCCTGCCCTTGCCCCATTCGCGATAAATCTAAAGCAATAATCTAAATAAAACCTCTAATCAAAACATACCAAACATGCCATATCCACGTTTGCTCCAGCATTAATCGCCGAGAGATGACAACGCGAGATTTCTTCAGACATCTAAACCAAAGTCTCCGCTAGCTATTTGCTTCACCTCTGCGTTGACCAAAACGAGGTCCAGCTTCTCGGCAAGCATCAGTCCCTCTTCTTTGGCAAATCGTCCGCCCGACAGCATCTTTTCCTGCTCTTCCAGTGGAGGATACCTGAATGAAAATGGGTTACAGAAACGTAAAAAATACTCACTTGAAGACCTTTGTATCCATATAAACAAAGTTTTCCATAATGTGATCGAATTCGGAGCCGTCAGCAATACTGTGTTCGGTGGTGCCGCCGCACTAAATTAGGGTATTTGAATCAACATCAATCACGATACCCGGGTATTCTTGTTCATAATGTAGTTCAACGATTTGTCAGCCCAACGATTCGAGCCGTTACCAGTCAGCATTCCTTTCATGAAAGCATCGAGGGCTCCCGGATTGCTCTGCAAAAACCTTTTCTTGACCCTTCTATTCGAAACCATACCGCTTGATAATCGTAGCCTTCAGTGTCCTCGATAACGAAGAAGAAGAGCGCACTCTCGATTATCTGTAAACAGCGTAAAAATCAAAACTATATTGCCACCTCAAGCGCCTCCTTGTTCTTCTGATTCCGTAGGAAGAACTTGATCCTGTTTTCATTCCATTTGGTGCTGAAAATATTTAGACTAATGGTTTTTGGAAAATCAAGTATACCGGTTGTCCGAGGTCAAAGCACAGATATGAGCCAATGGTCCAGTTTCCTCCTCCTGTGCGGCACGGGTGAAAAGTTCATCGAAGATCCTACAAGCAAGGTTTTGTTTTTGATCAAAACAAACTTCGTAAGCTCGTCCAAGGTGTAAAGCCGACGGTTGGCATCACAAAACTGCACACGGTAAATGTTGCCCTTGACAAGGACGGCCACGTGTTTGCTGATTCCTGAAAATTGGACGTGTCCAGGAGCTCCTTCATAATTACCGTAATCAACAAGATGGTCGATTTCTTCACCAGGAACACGATTGACAGCATACATGTAGTCGTAATGACAAGCGCAAACGAGACCATCACCCAGCTACACCGAGGAATCCAATATAAATCAATACACCAATACCGGTTTGTAATTCTGACGGTCAATTGCCAGATGGCTCAACATCTCGATGGCGACAACATGAGCTGCACGAACAGCCATGAGAGCTGGCGAGTCGCGGAACAAGTCAACATGGGCTACGGATGAATTGATCAGCAACGGGTCCCTAAAATAGGAATTCGCAAGAGTCGGCGGAAAACGCACCTTCCGTAAAGATAAACGTATTTCCGCCAGAAATCCGAAATATAGTTCGTTGTGAAAAGATTATAGAGCTTGGCATAGAGTTGTAGTTTTCTGCCCTCGTTCTTCAGGAAGACGTTCGCTTCTTGCGAAATCCGTGTGAACTCCTCCTGAAGATTCGCCAATGATAGAAAGAGGACGCAAACTACCTCGGAGACGATGTAGCGAATGCTTTCCAAATACTTCGCAACCGACGCTTTCAAATCAGGAACGGGTTGCTTCGGTAGCAATTGTTCACAAGACTGCAGTCGCGGAGGCGAGAACGACAGTAGGGCGCGAATCACCTAAAAACGGTTAAGTAAGTCAGATTTACGTAACTTACACCCCAGAACCTCGTGGCCGCAGATGGCTTCTTCGGATTGTCAAACAAGAATCCCTTGTACGAGAAGTAGAAGTACTTCAGGAAACGACGGATCAGGAAGACTGGGGCGTAGGCAGTGATGATCGAGACAGCGCCCACTTTCAACGCCTAAAAATCAGATTGTCTATGTCACGAGCAATTTAGTATTAAAAAATACAATGCAATACAAACAATGCAAACAATACAATGCTGAAAAAAATTGGCGTCTCCAAAAACCGTGATCTCAAAGTTCAAGCCTGCCGTTGAACTTTTCAGGTGCGCCGTTATCGGCCCCTGGATTATCGGAGCCCGCTGTTTTGGGGGAAACCGAAGCCGGACACACCTGGTGCAGTCGTGCAAAAAAACCGGTGAAAGTTACCTCTAGGAATGGAGATGTCGATTTCGGAAGTAGCCCGATGATCAGGTTATTCGAGTTGCGCCAATGATATGCAGCGACAGCACCCGTGGCGACACCATAGTATACCGGGCGAATCGGCCAAAGACGATTTTCGATCGAGTTCTAAAAGAAAAAAACGTTTTAATCATAACAATTAACGCAAAACGCACATAAAGCCGATAGCTGAACTGCTCAATGCCACTCGGAAAATGCGTATACAAGGGGAATGGAGGGACCACCCGGTCGACCTTCGACGATTTGCCCCCGTCGGCGCCGGTCATACCTGAAATTCACAAAAATATAGTACGACCAGCGCCCCAAACCCGCTTCGCGGGCCTTGGGAGCTGGATTGCGGCCTCTGCATGAGAAATTTGACTTTCCGATAGCTCGGGTCCTGCGGACCCCCCACCAACCACACGCGCGGACGAAGAATTGAGGCATTTTGGACAGGGGAAGGCCCTCAAATCTGGCGTCTAAACTGACATCCACACACACACACAAAGATACACGCCAAAATTATATAAGGTAGGATCAAAATCCATTAGAGAATAGTATCGAGAAAATATTATCATATCAAAGGGTCTAATCACCACGCCGCAGCGAGAGGCGGGGCGACGTTTTGTACCTTGCCCCCTGGGTTTGAAAGGCGGGAAAAGGGGAGACCAAGAATGTTATTTGGCCGGGGTAGCAGGTCACAGATAATTAAATCAATCATAAATGTGTTGATGGATTCGCAGTAGTTTTTAAGGGATATTGGCTGCGCGCGTTTGATGTAAAGGTAATGATCGATAAAATGAAAATTCGGGTCGTAGAAAATAATGTGATCTCTATATTCAGCTTCAGCTAATCTAGGTGACAGGCGATTTTTAGCAAGGAGAATAAAGGGCACTGTAAAGAGAGGCGTGAGCAAATGAAATTGTAAAACTACAGCAATAACCGACTACTAAAGTCTGCGAACGGATGCTGCGCCTTTTTTGCAAGGACTGTGAGTCAAAAGGGGGAAAGTCAACATATCAAAGGAGAAAGGAGGTCAGCGGTAGCTAAGGGGGCCGATCACCCTGCAGGCCTGAGCCTAGAGAGAATCTTGAGTCGGGAAAGAAAGACATCACCATCTCTGGACAGCACAACGTCTAACACCGTTCCTCGTATACAGCATTCTAAAACCCAGCGTCTTGACAAATGACCAAAACCGGAAATGTTAGAAATGACTACATCAGAAAGGATTTACCTACATAATGCCGATTCACAGAATGCCGATTTACAGAATGCCGATTTACAGAATGCCGATTTACAGAATGCCGATTTTACAAAATGCCAATTTACAGAATGCCGATTTACAGAATGCCGATTTACAGAATGCCGATTTTACATAATTTGGGTTATACATCAGACCGGATCCCCCATAAAAACATTGTCCGGCTTGGCCATGGCAAATTTTTACGAATTCTTTTTTTCACGTAGGGATCGGGGATTACAAGAAAATCGCAAGCATCGCGACAAGTTTCAACGCGTGCCCCTTTTCGCTGGTCGCCGACACTTCCAACGTGCTCAGCCGCAGCGACAAAACTCAACGACTCATTATTATTTATTGGTTGAGAATGCCCGGTCTCACGTCGAGAGGAAGGGAAAACTGTTTGATAGAAGAATTTAATTTAGTAACCCATGGGCGGGTCCTTGATAACGTGGAACTAAGGTTTCTCTGAAAAAAAGAAAATAGTAAAGCTAGGCCTCAGGTCTGGCGGTTTCGCCATGTCCAAGTCGGATAATGTTTTTTTTTGCTGGGGATCCGGTTTGTATTTTTGGATGTAGAACCCAAATTATGTAAAAGCGGCATTCTGTAAATCGGCATTCTGTAAATCGGCATTCTGTGACGCGGCATTTTGTAAAATCGGCATTCTGTAAATCGGCATTCTGTGAATCGGCATTTTGTAAAATCGGCATTCTGTAAATCGGCATTTTGTAAAATCGGCATTCTGTAAATCGGCATTCTGTAAATCGGCATTCTGTGAATCGGCATTATCAGCCTATACCATCAGAAAGTGGTGATTTCAACTCTGTAGGTGTCAGGAGAAAGGCGCAACTTTTAAAACAGTAAATAACTAAACATGGAAGCCGAAGATTAAGCGACTATCAAGAAAAAGCAAGGCGGATGGTTAGTTCATCAAAATCGGCCAAAGATTAGTTATTTCCACTCCCCCCCACTGGTTTCCCCCTTCAAGTCCGATAATATCTATCCCAACGCCTGAACGACCTTGTAGTACAAATCGTATTTTTGAAACTATGAAAAAAAAACCCGGAAAAAAGGGATGTGTCAGCCCCACCGCCGGTTCCTTACAATACCAAGTGCAAATAGCCCAAAGCGCCATCCTCAAAGGGAAGGGCAAAATTTAAAATCGTAGCGCAATCGAGGAAATCACAAAAACCCCGCGCACGCACTATAAAGCCTTATTGCCCCAAAGGGATCGCGCATTCGTCGTCCAACATATTGCCTAACACTAACACTTTTCTTCAAGGAATATGCTATTCATCCGCATTTTACAAAATGTTTTAATAATCGTCATGGCGAAGCAGGGTCAGGTGGGAAATATAAGTTTCTAGGAAGTTATTTAGGCTTGCCATTCTATACAACCAAGCGCCACAAAATTAACTGTATTTTCAAATCCGCCGGCGGTTGCAAAAAGTGCGCCTCTCCAAGATCAAATGAAAACTGGGGCTGATACAACATTTTTGCGTGCTGAAGGTTGGAAAGCAGATCTAAAGGAGTGCAAGCGCGAAAGCGACTTTCAATTCTAAAATGTCAGGTTCTGGCTTTGATTATTCGGAATTTGAAACCGAAATTGTCAATGCGCTGGACAGCCGAAACACTGTGCTCCTAAACGACCAGCAAATCGAGCGGACTTCGATCAATTTTGACGACCAGGAGTTGGAAGACGGCTTGACAGGCTCCAGCATTGTGCCAAAACCCGAAAGGTTAGATAGGGCCACATCAGAAATTTGCAATTAACAACTTTGTAGGTGCCAGGAGAAAGGCGCTACTTTTAAAATAGTAACTAACTATCCATGGAAGCTCGAAAGATTAAGCGACTATCAAGAAAAGCAGAGGCGGATGGTTAGTTTATCAAAAAGCGGAAATTAAATTATTTATTTCTAGTTGCTGTTGCTCTCGCAATTTACAGGGGTTCGGTTGGATAAAACGGTGCCTATGGAAAAGTCGACGAAGTAAGTCGGTTAAGGTCATGAGTATTAATAGCTATCGCATTTCTGGTACGATACCTATTTATTTACAGCCTTATAAAAGACAAAGACGGAGCAGAAAAGTATGGCGAAACCTATCGACTTCATGAATACAAGGAAGACTGCCAGAAATTAGTGACTTTCATGAACAAAGCAGTGGCATGGAGTGCAACGGTGAGTCCAAAATGTTGCTACGGTAACGAATTGAGCTTTAGATCGAGCAAGTGAGGCTCTACTGTCGGTGCGAGGATGTGGTGGAAGTGCGCAAAATATGATTAAAAATTCTGATAATAAAATTGTTATGAAACTTATAACTTTTTATCTGCTTGCTAGATGCAAAACATTGAAAGTTAGCTATTTTAGCTAGACACCCCAGACAACAGAAACTACAAGAGGAATACTTATAAGAACCCATTGAACAGAATTCGTCGAGAAACGATCGTTCTTATCGGCAATGCTGAAAACGAACTAGGGTTCGAAATTACGAAAGCCAGTAAGATTTCCGTGGCAATACACATTACACCTAGCTTCGGGGCTACGGTAGGCTCGTTAAATCGCCTCCGGCCTCGCTCGGGGGCATTTACTATTAAGGAGCGCAACGTAGCCAGTTTTTTGGCCGAATTTTCTGGGGTTTTCGCTGTCACTATTTAATTTATTTTCTTTCTAACTGTATCAGCAGAAAATACTGTACAAGTTCAAAAAACTGTGATTAGTTATAATGCATTTTTTACCCAATTCAGCGCGGTTGAGTGTTCGTCAAACACGGGCGATAACCGATTTATTAATCGTCTTTCCAAAAATAAGGTAGATTTAATCGGGGGTAGAAGGCAGTTTTGGGGGGCGCAAAGTGCAGTAGTATGAAAAAGAGCATTGAGGATGAGCGGTGTAGGCAATGTCCTACTTAAGAGTAAGGGGTTCCTGCTGGTATAGAGTGGGAGAAATTTGAGATTTTTTGAGATTGTCATTTCGAATATAGCACAATTCATCGTGTAAGAAGGATACAGTAGATAGGGGTGGATTTTGAACGAAAACAGGCTCATAAACAAGAAGACGTACATAACAGGAGAACGGTGACGAGATGCACAAGTTTAATACAATATAATGAAGGCAGAAACCCGAGTGGCGGTACTGGATATATAGTAATGTAATGAATACAACAAATTAAACCGGGGGTGGTCCCCGAGTATAGGTGAGATGTGGGCCAAATGTTGAGCCGTGGATGAATGTTAGGTAGAAGGCAACGACGGATGCGAGGAGTCCGGCTAGCAGCAGGCCAATCTGAAATGGGGTTTTTGATTAGAAAATACAGTTTATTTTAACAAAGAATTTCGATACTATTAGCTAAAAAAACTTCGCAAATTTTTACTTTTTGGTCAAAAATATATGAAAAACACCAAAAAGTTCAAAATTATCGAATTTCCAGAAATGTTTAAAATTATTTTTGTAACTTTCGAGCAATCAAAAACTATTCAAAGCTTTATATAAATACAATATTTATGATTAGCAGGTATAGATGGAAGATAGATATTATAGATGGAAAAACGAAATTTGGTTCCCCCTGCTAACTCCCCCCATTAACAGTCCAGTACCAACTTCCAGTCTTTAAAATAAGCCTGCTAAGATAGTAATATTATAATGTATTATTACACCTAAATACGAAAATATTATTACCTGTAGTTTAGCAGATCTTCTTCGAGGTGGTGCTACAGCTGGCTCTTCAGCTTGTGTCGCCACAGTTGCAACTTTCCGCTCACGGACGGCCGGGACAGCCGGGATCTTGCTAACTTCAAACCTGAAAACGACCGGAATAATCTTCTGCTTGAAAACTCGTTCTTACCTGCTCTTTAACTGCTCCAGCGCATTACTATAGAGTCGGATCTCTCCGTTGAAATCAGGAAGCGGCTTGACGATGGTCTCCGACTCCGCTTCCGCTTGGAGGGCGGTGAGCGATGCGGTGAGGTAGTTGCACATCGTCTCCAGGCTGAAGTTAAGGTTTAATTTAATTTAAAGCTAATAAATCGATACCTATCCATCCGCTCCTGACACAAGCGAATCTCCTCGGAAACGGTACTCGGCTCGACACTTCCTCTAGCGATATGGCCTTCAATGCGTTGCATGATGTTCCGTATCGCGTCTTGTTCTTCATTCCACTGTCCCCACTCCATATTCAATTGTTTCAACGACGCCACAAGGCCGCTGATCTTCGCGATGGCTTCATCAAAATCATCGCTGATGGCCTCAACCTCGACCTCATGCTCAGCAAGCAAGGGTTTGAAGGAGGGGGCAACGAGGAGTTCTCTGGAAACGTAGGTTAGGATCGGAAATTAATCCATTTTTACCGGATTTTGCACAGTTTTTATATAGAAAAAGCTCATTAAAATTTATAAAATTTTTTGAAAAAGTGAAATTTAGGCGGATAAACAAAAATTGACCCCCCCTCGCTAATAGCCCAGTACCAAAATTTTTGATTTGCGCTTAAATCAGCTTACTTCAATTCATCACGATCGTGTCTTAGATTTTCTTGAATGAGCAGCATTGAGGCAAGAGCTTTCGCGACGTCTTCTCGGGAATGGATGGTGGATACGCCGTTCAGGGAATTCATCGACGATGTCTAAAAATTGGTAGTAAATGTATACGGCTTCCGAGACAGTTTTTGGCGGATTACAGTAAGATACCAATATTTCCTCTCTTACCTGATCAAGCGCCCTTAGACTGGCAGTGAACTTCTCGAACTTGGCGAGAATGGCTGGCAGGGGTGCTCCGACTCTTTCCAGCAACAGCTCCCACTCTACGCGCAGGTCGGCCAGTTCACGCACTTCCGCCTAAATCATGGAAATTCAGATGAGTTTTATGGGCTTAAATTTTATTAAATCAAGACCTACCGTATGCCCAAGACCATTGATTTTGACGGCCGTATCGAGTTGTCGAATGTTTGTGCGGGCGATGAGTTCAATGTCACGCTAAAAAGTGGATGAAAATATAGCTTAAAACTCGCTTAAAATAGCTTAGCTAAAAAAATGAAACTAACCATGACTTGCGGATCGTCGACAGCTTCTAAACTCTTTGCGACAATCAACAGGTTGGCACGAGACTCGTTTATTAATCTAAAAAAAATCTATTTGGAAATCTGTTCGATCCAAGCAACCTCGTGAGCATCTGGTGGGAACCGCCAAAATGTCGATTATAGTCATCGTCTTGGCGTAGCATTTCATCGACAGCCATCGACGAATTGTGGAAATCGCTCAGGCCGATCAGCTCGGAGTCGTCCTTATTGGGAGGCTAAAATAAAAGGTGTTTATATTTATAATAACTTTAAAATTAAGGTAATTTTTAAACCTAAAAATTTGCAAACGTTGCTAGGCATTGGCATAGAATTCGTAAATTCCCCAGAAGCATGTGGAGGAGGAAGGGTTGTCAGGGAGCGAAAGGGGAGCAACGAAAACATAGGCTAGTGGGAGGGAGCTAGATCAATAGAGAACTGAGGGGAAGAGAGGGGGGGGGGGCTTCTGGTGGCTAGAAAAGGGTCTAAGGGCCCAGTTGAAGCTGTGAATGGCTTGTAGAGGATGGCTAAAGGGGCAGGGACATGGAAAAAGGCGGGGTGTTAAAAGGTTCATTTCGCCGACTTTTGTATTGCTGGATTTAATTTCTATAGTTTAAAGTTTGACAAAAATGTAATTACTTCTTATATATATTTGTCGTCGAAAATAAAGTGATTAAAAATTTTTTCCTTAGAAATTACATTACGATGAATTACGGAAAAATCGGTGAAATAGAGGTATAACCGTCTTTAAAAAACTAATATATTTTATTTCCCTGCAACAAACCTTTGTTTCCGCTTCATAGCTATAAACCTGCCAAGAGCGTACATGAACATCAAGTTTCCGTGCCATTTGGAGGCTAATATTTGTCTTGCCCCGCTGCCCCCAGCCATTATTTCGCTCCCCTTTCCGCCCAACGCGAAGACACAACATTTTCGTGGCCGAATTATTAATGGTTGTGAAAAGGGGTGTGTAATGGTGGGTGACGAATTCGGAAAAATGAAAAAATATAAATCTTTTAAAGAGAAACCCACCCTATAATCATCCCACTCGTAGGCAGCAGCGTCGCTTTGTTCCGGGGCTGTGGTATCGCTGTCGGGGTGGCAGAGCGCATCGTCGAGTCTTAAAAATCATGTGTAAATCGGAATTATTAATATGTATTAAAAATCAAATAATATTTAATTATGTAAAATTGGGCGTTGAAAATACCTCTGCAATAAGCGAGTTGATCGAGACACTGGTGTTCTTGGTGGAGAGATGCGGACCGTTGGATTACAGCCAAAACCAAGCTGCTCACCGTCGGACATACTTCGGGGAAGTCGGCGAATCTAAAAAAAGTTTAAAATTAGAAAAACACGATTGAAAATGACTTTAAAAAGCATATTTTGAAAATGTCGAAACATTTAAAATACGCGAATTACGCGCGAATTTCCCGGAAACCCTATGCAAAAAATTGCGGCATAATGAAATTTCGAAATTATGATTTTCGACAAAACAACAACAATTTTTCGACTGTACCTTTAGCTTCTTCCGCATCCGCATATTGTTGATCTGACGGCCAGGAACAAGCTCAGAACGCGTAGAGCAGAATGAAGCATCCATCTCGGTCGTCTCGAGCAGCAAAGATGACGTCTTCTTGCCGGGACGTTGGCCCCTCACCCGCTTCAGGGATCCATACTGGACTGGCGTCGATTCGAGCGTGATATTGGAAATCATTGATCTAAAGAAAAACTTAATAGGGAAGAGACAACCAAACCTGTTCATAGGGCTGTGATTTTCCAGAAGCTGATCGTCGTTTTCTTTCAGACCATCGAGGTCAGAAGAGTCTTCAGATGAAGCATCGCATGAAGCCTAAAGACACAAGTCGATTTCTTTGTTAATTGGATTGGTAGGGAAGCTATTTGGTGAGAGTGGAGAGACCTCTATTGTTTGCCATCTTCAAAGGGACCAGTCCCACCCACCCCTGGCAACTCCTGTTTTTGATGTTTGCCCCCCAAATTGAAATCCTCAATCAACCCTTGAAAATGAAGGAGAAATTACCTTATCCAAGAACGATCCAAAGATGAACTGGCGATCGGTGCGACTTCTTCGGCGCTGGGCATCGGCTCGAATTTCTCGCCATTCGGTGTGGAATGAGTCGCCCATTTCGCATTCATCATCCATCAATTTTAGCACATCATCTAAAAACAATTTTAATTTACATGAAAATTATAAAATTTTATTATTTTATTACTGGGAAAAAGTTAGTTTCCCCTGCTAAAAATCTTCCCCTGCTAAAAGTCCAGTACCATCCAACCCACCAAAATCGTTTTGTTGTGCGGTATTGTTGAGAGCGTCGTAGTTAACGATCATACTATCAGACAATAGGGCTTCTTCTGGTAGCAGCTAAAAAAAATTTATATATGAATTTGTGATTTTTTATATATTCGATTCTTCTGGATTAAGAGTATAAAAATTTGCCTACCTTATCGTTTGTAGCCTTGATGATCTCACATTCGGAGAGGTCGGACTCCAATGGGACGGTCCGATAAAATGCCTTGCACGGCGAGCAGTCTATTCTTCTTCGCACTGATTGTTCCTCCCTGCAAACGTATAGATAATTGCATTTGAAAGAACCGAAGATCTTAAGGCACTGGGGGTGGTGGGCTCTATTTTTTAGGGGCCCTAGATGGAGTGTTAGAGCTGGGCGGCGCGAAAGAGTCGCGATTTCCTCGCATTCTCCAGTCCCCCCCTATTCCGAGCGCATACTATGTAAACAGTTTCGATAGCCCGAGAAACGTTCATTTGGGTGACCATGTGTGGCGGCGGCTTGGTCTTTGAAGGGTGGGAGTAGGAAAGGGGGATGATTTATCTATTTATATGCGGCTCTATGGAAGACGGTAGCTTATTAATAGATAAAGTAAGTATATTTTATAGTTTTTAAACTGTTTTAACTATTTTTAAACGTAAAAACTTTACAAATTTCACTAAAAATATCAAAAATATCAATTTTTCGACCAAAATGGCCGAGTTTAGACCAAAAGTCGACTTTTTCAAAACTTTTAAAAGGGTTTTGGGTAGTTTTTCTAGTTGAAATATAGTCATATTTTACTAAAACGCTATTAATACAGGTGCTAATTAGTTCCTATACATTTTTAGACGCATACTCCCCCCACCCCCGATAATGCGAAAGAAACGAATAGCGTCTAGGTATGAGGCTTGAAACTTACTGAATCTCTGCCATCTTATTCAACGCCTCCGGAATGCTGTTCTCCCCGCTGCTATATCCGATATCCTTCTGGGTACTACCCCACTTCTTCGTGCCTTAAAAATAAGTATAAAAATACTCATTTTTTAAGATTACCTCTTGTCTGCTCTGCGTCCGATGCGCTATCAACCTGCGACGAGGATTGCGTCGTGCTAAAAACCAAACATTTCAAAAATCATACTTCTGCTTACGGTGCATCCATGATACTCTCGTATTCACTGGCTGCAAAGGGGAATGTGTCGTCGTTCTCTTCTTCCGCTTCAGATTCCAAATTCCAGGCCGAGGTGCGGCGGGCCCGTTTGTGGGGCGGCGCGGCGAAGATGGGGTCGGTGTCTGATTCGCAGCCCTCCTGAAATTCAATGGTCTATAAGAGGTCTCGAAAAAGTCTACTAAATTTCATAAAAAATTAGTTTAAATCTAGGTTTTAAACTATATGGAAATCGGGCCATTTTCATATCGGGATTGGGGGGCTGGGTGTTTTACACCTGGGACCTTTTCTATTATCTGGGGGTAAATACCCTAAGTAAATGTTGATAAGATTTATATTAAAAACATCAGTGCAAGATAAGCTTACGGATTTCAATAAGCCTACTAATTTTATAAAAAAAGTGTAAATCTGGGTTTTATTGCTTATGAAAATTAGTATATTGAGCATGAGCATTAGAATTAGCATCAGCATATTGTTTCGGCCAAAATTTCAATTTTTCGAAATCTCGTTTTGTCAAGTTATCATAATGCCGACATTTCAATTTGTCGAAATTTGAGCGCCGTTTTCGCGGTGTTTTCCCCCCCAAAATCTATTTAATTACTGCTAAAGAAAAGCACTTATTAAAGCTTAAATCGACTATCGAGGTGGAAAACCGAGAATGGTGTCACCATTCGGTATGCATAAGAGGAGAAGGTTAGGTGGGTTGGTATATATGCAGGTGGACAATTAGAGAGCAGTGTGACGGGGTCCCGGCACGAATGTGGCCCCCGGAAAGGGAGGGAGGGTGGATGGGTGGATGGATAATGACGGTGGATGGGGGGGGGAAGGTAGATGGGGGGACGATCCCTTTAAAGGCAGCCGGTTGTGTGGGGCAGCCGGGTGTCTCTTGTTGCATTCTAATTAGCATACCACCGCAATATGGGATCATAATTATTATGGGGGGGTAATTGGGCGTAAATTACTAATACTAATTTTAATAATGTAGGTAAGTTTTAATTCGGTTTCGAATCCTAATAATGAAATATAATTTATGGGTTGCAATTACAGTATTAGATACCAACAAGCCATCAAAAACTCACGTACCGTACTACCGTAATATCGTAATTAATGTAGTAGACACCTACAGTCCATTAAAAACTACTAAATCGTATCAACCTGTGTCAGGAAAAGAGCTACGGATTGCGCAAGATATTTGCTTGTCTAGCCCCTCAACAAATAGAGAAATTTCCTTTTGACGTACGGAATTTTGATAGCATTTTTTATAAAAAGACCAGCGCCCAAAACCCGCTTCGCGGGCCTTGGGCGCTGGATTGCGGCCTCTGCATGACAAATTTCACTTTCCGATAGCTCGGGTCCTGCGGACCCCCACCGCCCTCACGCGCGCTTGTTACTCGCAAGAATGAGGACATTTCTATTTTTTCACATCATGCAAAGCTTTCAGGGACCCCCGAATATGAATAAAACCGGCTTTAACTTTGTAAACTTGTATTTTATCGCAATTCTGAAAACGCCATCGGAAACAGAAGGTTCGATTCCCCCGGGTGACGGAAAATGAGAGCATGTTATCCACGGGAATGCCCTCAAATCGGGCCTCGAAACTGACATCCACACACACAGACAAAGATACGCGCCAAAATTATATAAGGTAGGATTAAAGTAGCTGAAATAAACTAAATTCGGGTCAAATTTACAAATTAAAATCCAGCAAACTGTATCCTGCTTCCAATTCCTGGTAGCCCTGGGGTGCCGGCTTATCAGCAGTGTTCGGAAACCCGGCGGAATGGGTGTGACAGCAAAATCAATTTTGTTTTGGGGACTTTGCACTGAAGCGTAGTAGTAGTTTACTAATAGTGATTTAAAGCACAAAATGACGCTCTCTAGTTTAGGGCTGTTGTCCATAGTATTGCGGCGGAATAACCGGTCCCCAATCAGTGGAACGGCCATTTGCATGAGCCCTGGGAGGATTTGGGGCGCATTTTCTGCGGGGGTAAACGGCCTATTTTGATGGACGGGCTTAAAAACCGGAATTGTAGTAGTAATTCGCCCCAAATTATTCTAATATACATCAAACATAAAGCAATAAAGTAGCATCGAGGCTTGAAAAATTTAACAAACGAAATTCAACCGAAATCGAGCCCCAATTTTGAAGTGTCCGCTGCAATAAATGGACCCGGTGAGCGGGTGGAAACGGTGAAAACATGAGCGCAAACAGCCCATTCAATCGCGGACACTTTTCAGCGCCCCCTGGTCCCGGCGGCCGCGATTTGCATATACGCATCGGGGGGAGAAGGAGGACGGTGTGAAATTCGAGGCGCGAGAGTCGACATTTCGTTATGGAGGGAGTTCACAGATTTTTAGGAGGATGAAATTGTGGTGAGCTATAGGCTATAATGGCTTAAAGGGACTGGCAAGGCATATTGCTATGGATTAAAGGCGTAGCAATAATTTTTAGATTTCAGAAAATCCATAGATATGCCTTGCCGGTCTCTTTAAAATGTCTAGGATCAGGCTTGATCCACTACTGTCAAAAAACCAATCGATTACGCTAGGAAAAAAACGAAGAAAATAAAGCTGGCCCACACAAGAGCCGATTTATGCTAATTTCAAGCTTAAAAATGTTATGCTAATTTAAATAAGCCTTCCAAACTCCTTTAAAACAAAAATTAGTAATATATAGTTGAATAAAGCTTCGTTCCTTCCTCAACTACTTCTACCTGCCCCCGTCGGGTGCACAAAAGGGGTGACGATCCCCCTCCCCCAGCGGTTGGCCAATAAATCTCGGCGGCGAGTCGGAATGGGCTTGAAGGGGTCTGTGGTTGTGGTTGTGGCAGTGGAATACAGGGGCAAGACGAGGGGGGAATGGGGTCACCACAATCGACATATACACCTACAGAAACAGCCAAACATCGACACGGAGAATTCCCGACAAACAGACAGACAGATTCATGTTCTTTTATGTCCCTGTTTCATGGACCATTTCCAAGGGGGATGGGTGGTGGGACTGTGTAGGGCGCGAAAAAACGAGGCCATCGTAAAATGGTTCGTGGGCCTAGGATTAGCCGCTTGTAGTTTTAAAGGGGCAGACAAGGTATGGGGATGGCGGGAAAACGCCCAAAATATCGACAGCCATAATCCCGAAAGCCAAAATCCCGACACTCAAAGTGCCGACGTTCAAAATCACGACAGCCATAATCTCGAAAACAAAAATCCCGACAGCCAGAAACCACAGATTTTAAAACCATTTATGGTAAACGACCGGAAATATCGCATTCTGACTGTCGGGATTTTTGCTGTCAAGATTCAGGATTTTGGCTGTCGGGATTTTGAATGTCGGGATTAAGGTTGTCGGGATTATGACAGAAATTCACTTTATTTAGATTGTTATGGTCAGAGTTCAAAACTACAAAAATCTTCTCCCTTTAAGGCTACAGTGACATACTACGTATAGGAGAGCGTAGAAAATCAAAAAAGCTTTGCTAGTGCTGACAGGTTGTCAAAGTTAGATGAGGCTGAGGAGCTAGGGGATCTAGAGGGGCTGCCGGCGGGCACAACTGTCGTTGTCGTCCCGTGGTCGCAACCGATCAAATATCCCGGGCCTTGGGTGAGGAGACAGAAAGGTGACCGATTGGCATGGCTTTTGGCTGAGAGTGGATGCTAATTGGGGGTTGACGCCTTTACGATGTTGAGCTTTATAGTTTGTTAATATCGAGGAGAAAAGGAAAATTCTAACAAGGAGTGCCTTTTGGGTGTCATCGGCAAAACCTTACGAGACCTAGCTCATTCGATAGAGAATTTGATTCTGAACAAAACCCCGTTGTTCTTTTTTGCAGAATGGCTATCCCTGATTTTATAAAATTTTAAAACTGCACCAAAAAGCCTCTCTTTTGGCTCGAAAGGCACTCAGGGCAAGGGACGGTCACTAGTATTTTAATTTTATAAAATCAGGGATAGCCATTCTGCAAAAAAGAACAACGGGGTTTTGTTCAGAATCGAATTCTCTATCGAATGAGCTAGGTCTCGAAGGAATTTGCCGATGACACCCAAAAGGCACTCCTTGTAAGAGGCAAGCCGGCACGAGAAAGAGACAGAGAGAGAGAGAGAGAGAGAGAGAGAGAGAGCGTGTGAGTGAGAGAGCGAGGGAGAGAGGAAGACGGAGCGAGCGAGCGAGAAACCTAGAGAAAATTCGAGCTATAAACGCTGAGAAACAGAAAGAATTACAGCAAATGAAAACATAACATCTATAGGTTACCTACCTACGCTAGAGGCGTTCCACCCGGTGGGCATTGGGTGCATGTGTGCAAATACCAAATGGGAGATGCGCCCGAACGGCCGGGTTTCAGAGTATTCCAACCCAAAACTAAATAAACTATCCCAGAAGACCACACCTAGAGCTTATAAAATTTTTATTAATATTCCTTAAGCTCAAAATTATCCTAAATCTCTAATCGCAACATTACACCCGCGTGAAGCCATGCGCGAAAATGGTTGAAAGTCTTTAGAGGGGAGTGGGGCTGAATAATTCGTGTTTGGGACCGGGTGGAACTAGATGTGGAGCTGGAGGACACCTGGCCCCCGGACACGCGATATGAGAGGCGTCAGACCGGATGGCCTCGTACTGAGGGCAGGGGGGAGGGGCGATGAGGATGCTTCGGCACGACAAACATCTGAACCTATTGTCTTGGCGGATATGAAGGAGGGATCGGGTCTCAGGTGTAGAATCGGGATATAAAGACATTGGTCTCAAAAAAGACACCGATCGGATTTTGGCATTTGGCGTGGACCCGATTTGGAATTTTGCAAAGACGTTTGAATTGTTTAATAATTAGATTATTAGTAAAATTAAATTATTAAAATTATATTAATTTGAATTATTGCAAATCAAGGGGGGAAATAAAGCAACGACGCTCTTTTACCCTAGAAAGTTTTCGCTTGGACGATTTAACTTAGAAATAGCCTCTTGAAACCATTTTAATAAAATAAAGCAAACCACGATTTGAATCAAAAGAAAGGTTTGTTAAAAAGCTATGCAAATTTATACAAAGTCCAAAAAGAGCCGAAAAATGGAGCAAAGATCTCCGAAATTCAGTATTTTTGCGAAAACTCAAAAACTATCGTTTCAATCGGGCTGAAAATTGGGGTGTAACTTTAAAACGTCCTTTCGCACCTTTATGACAATTTTCTCAAAGAAAGCCCCAAAATGGCCAAATACGGACGTCCTCTTTTTATTCGGTTACCCCGAAGGATGAGATTGGAGACTCTGGAACTCCCAGAATTGCCTATTCCTCCAAAACCACCGCAAAAAAGGACAACGGACGAAAACCAGCCGGCCATTTCGTATAAATCTCGGTCAGGGACGGTTGGGCTCGAGGGATGAGAGGGGAAATTAAACTGAAGGGGAGGGGGGACGAGATGCGCATGTCACTCATCCCCTCAGGGCACTTTGGCTTCTCCCCTCACCACATCCACTGTAATATGTGGTGCATGTACGCACACAAAGATACTATGAGAGGGGGGTAGAGATGAAACTATTTTCAGCCTAGGAGATAAACGGGGAAATCTGGAGATATTATGCCAAATCCGTAACTTTAAACGTCAATGAATGTTTATAGGGAAATATGGGTACTGGGGTCTTAGCGGGGGGCCGAATCATGGACGGGTAAAACCAATTTTTGTTTTCCGCCTATTACCTATTGCCTAAATATGGTATTTTTTAATAATGCTTTATTAGTTTTTAATTGTAAAAATTGAATAAAGTAAAGATTTTAAACATTTTTGAAAATTTGAAAATTTTTACTTTTTAGTCATTGTCGAAATTTTTGAACGGCTTACCGAGCATTTTTCTTTCTGAAAACTGTGCATAGAGCTATAAAAATGGTTTTTATTTTTATAGGACCGTACAAGTTTCCTGGGAGAATTGGTCCCCCCGCTAACAGTTCAGTACCAGAATAAGCTAAAAAAAATGGAGAATACCCGGTTGCAAAGCGGGAAAAGCTCTATTAAGAAGCTAAATAAAATCTTATAACAGCTCAAGATTAAGTCTAAGACAATCCAAAAACCCGAGGCGCTTCTAAATTGTTTTCGCCAAACCCAACCCGGCATTAACGACGAATATAAACACAGCAGGTCACAGACCCCGGAACGTCTCGGCTGTAAAAACACACCCAGGGAACACCCAGTCGACCAAGCGAAAGTTTGCACCCCAGCGGATACAATAGCCGTGTTCAACCCCATCTCTGCTAGTGGTCGGCTGGGGGGCCATGGTGCTCAATTTGCGGTAATTTGAGCCGTTCCGGGGTGCTGGAACCTCCGGACGAGGGAACTATCGAAATGCCCCCTCTCTCACTCGGCCACTCACCGAAATTTGAATGCGGGGATGATGAGAGGAGGTAATGGGTGAATTTTTAAAGTTGGAGGTCGTTGGCATGAGGTTGAGAAAAAGTTATGAGCAGATCATGATCATACGAAATAGATGCCGGCGCAACTGCGCTAGTTTTTATATGTTTTTTCTAACGTTAAAAATAGCTATAAAAGCCAGTTATTGCTAAAGATTAATAGAGCGCAGCTATACCGTATATATAGCTAGACCATAGCTTTATAAGAGATCCTAAATTCATGCTAGTGCTCTTAAAAAATCGACAAAAATCGTAGTTCTTATTCAACTACACGCCAATACCATTGACGACAGCCAAAAAATACAAATACGCTCCCCATTGTGAGCCTCCCACCCCCCAAAATCGCGCTGGAATTCCCGCAATTTCAGAATCGATTGATCCGCGAAATCGGGAAATGGGATTACCTGCGGGCGATTGGGCTGTGGATGGCGCGCAGCCTTCCTGGGTTGGTGCTCTGGAGGTCGAATTTTGGGGAGCAGAAGAAAGGAGGAGGAGGTGAAAAACTGGCAGCAACGATTAGGGGGTTTGAGGGTGGAGGCGGTGGTGGCGCCTGGCTCTCGTGTGCCATTAAGGGATTTTAGCGTTGGCAAAATATAGAGTGTAAGCTGGTGGAACGAAAATTTGGCGATGGCAAACTGATGGTTCCAAAATATGGAGGAAATTGAATATATTAAATAAATCTGAGGTATAGCTATGTTTCCAGACTATACTAAACACAACCAAACCCCCTTGTGGCTACTCAAAACCGGTCCCAACCAGTAGTACATAAAGCTACACTGCTTACACTATCCCAAAAAATGCGACACGCTCCCCCCCGCCCCGGCCATTCTATACTGGCGTCAAAAAAGTGCATGCTGCTGGCACGGCGTGTATTCTAGAGAGGAGGGCCACTCGCCAAAAAAGTGTGACCAGTCAGTGGGGCGGAAACGACAGAGTATTGCACGGGAATCATAATATTTGGGGTTAGGGGTAAAATCTAAGCTAAAGAACCTGAGCTAACGCTTCCAACACTGCTGGGGTACCCCCTGAAAATGACCGGCTTTGTTCGAAACAATGGCAGAATGCATTAGCTTCTTCACACCCCCCACTATACACCTGGAGCAATACTTTAAAGGGATGGAGACACATATTAGAGGATTGGTACCATGGCCGCGAATTCAAAAATACCGAAAAGTTATAATTTAGAATGTCATAAGCCCGATTTCGATAAAAATTTTGGAATTAGGTGTTAGAATTTGGAACCCATGAGCGTGGAGGCTTTGAGATTCGGAATTTTTGGAACTTGGGTTGGGAATTCGACATTTTTAGAATTTGGGCTTGGAATTCGGCAGTTTTGGAAAACGGGGCTTCGGAATTCGGTATTTTTCCGGGTTCGGGATTTTAAGCCGGCATTTTTAGAAAGCAGGGGTTTGGAATTCGATATCTTTCGAGTTCGGGATTTACGAATTCGGCATTGTTAAGAATCGGGATTTTAGAATTCGGAATTTCTGGAAATCAGGGTTTTCGAAATCGGGGTTTTTAAAAATCCGGGTAAAAAAAGCCTATAGCAAAAAAAGTCTAAAGAAAACATACGAATAATGCAGCTAGCCACAACCCAACCCAGTCCTTTATCAACTCACGAAAAATCGGGGCAAACGCCGCGGGAAAGGACAGAATCGGCCCTGGGGGACAAAATGGGGTAGGGCGATGAAATTGATGGGCCACGATATGTCTCCTGGCCCCACGATATGTCAATGGTTGGGGGAAAGGGGCCTTTTGAGGTTGGTTGTGGTGGCTAGTACGCCCTAGTACTCTGAACACATCCATTTCGGAGCATTTTTGATGTCGACGTGGGGAGGGAGGAAGGGACACCGGGGGGGCAGTGTCCGCTGGGACCTCGGGAATTGTTGCCCTTTGTGCTGGTTGGCTGATCGCTGGGCTTTTTGCAAGAATGAGAAAATCTGTTGGTGGGAAAATGGAAAGAAGGCTTGTACGGGATTTAGCTAAATTTGCCGATTTTTCCTTTGCCACTTTTTTATTATCTTAAAAAAACGACAAAACTCAATTAGCATGCTTTTAAAGTAATTGGCAAGATAAAAATAAAATCCCTGTTGCTTCTAATGTCATATTCTTAGTTTTTAATCAAATATATTTAAGTTTATAATATCTACCTTAATCTTTTTAAATCTTCAGTTACTGTAAATATATAATTAAAAGCTAAAAAAATCCCACTTTTGGCTCTTATTAAAATCTTAAAAATTTATACGCAACTTAAGTAAAAGCGTTTTTCTATGCAGATTTACAAAATGTAGATTTTCTGTTTTTTAAACGCTATTAAAAATTGTTTGGATTTAAATAAATACCAAAAGCTTCGTCAATTTTCTAATTTGTGGGTAAATTTGGTGCTAATTTCCTCATTTCAAGTCAGATCTTAAAATGCTAAATACCTACCGTATCCCCCGGAACAGCCTCTTCGATTCGTATCTGCAACGACAACGAATTGAGATAGGCGGCCAGCCAGCGTTTCTTCAGTGAGTCAACGCTGATCTGGCGTCGATCCGCCGCACCGCAATCAGAATTTGGAGATAGTAGTGGGTCGCCCCTAATACAAAAATAGCAATAATAAAATAAATATAATTGTCCATACCTTAACAATAGCTCTAATCGTGCAATGTGAGCCTGGCCCTCACTCTGGATCTCAAGTTGGAGTACCTGTAATTGATTGGTTACAATAGTATATTTAAAAACGAAGGAACTGGAGGAGGTTTTGGGGTGTGACCTGAGGCTGGCAAGCTGTCGATAATTGCCAGTTTGTGCTCATTTGCCTGGAGGGCGAGACGCGCAAACAGGTGGCACCCCCCGGATTTATTCGCCCATGAGGAGAAGCCAGCCAGGACGTCGGCTTCTTTTAGACGTTTTGTAAGCTAGAGTTTATCTCAGCTAAGGCTGTCCGTAACCGGTTATAAACCAATTTCCTATCGTAATAACAACATTTGGTACTGGACAATTAGCGGGGGGGGACATTTTTTTCGGTAATCCTGTCCGGTACTCTAACAAAATATAAACCATTTTATAGCATTTTAAACAGTTTTTAGACATAAAAAACTCGTAAATATGCATAAAAATTACAAATATTTTTGACTCTTTTGGTCAGAAATGTTTGCAAAATGACGAAAAGTCAAAATTTTTGAATTTCCAAAAATCTTTAAGATATTTTTTGTAGCTTTCTAGCAATCAAAAACTACGGATAGGATTATAAGATATTTATTATTAACAGAGACTGGCCGAAAAACTAAAGTTGTCTCCCCCGCTATCAGTCCAGTACCCAAAAATTCCCGGCACCCAAATGCCGATTCAAAACGCAGAAATTTAACGAAATTTTTGGCTTAAAGGGTTGTAATGTACATTTTTAGCATAATGTTATAGGTTTAGACAACCCAATTGAAAGCCGCAATCAAATGACAATTGACTGTGTAGGGGGTTGGGACGGAATGTGGCGGAGTGTATGCGGATCGGCTTGACCTTGTCCTCTTGCCACTCCCCCCCAAATAACCCTCTAAGAAAGAGTACCGTTTGCTAACTAAACACCGTATCGTCCAATCAAAAGGGATTACTGGAATGTTAGAGGTTTTAGGAAAAATGTGTTTAATCAGTTTCGGTACAGGTCTGTTATCGGGGAGGAGGGAGTTTAGCCGAGTTTAGCAGAGTTTTTGTCAAAAATGTATGAAAATGACCAAAACGGTCGACATCTTCAATTTTTAAAAATATGTGTGTACTTTTTAGCAATCAAAAACAAACAATAAAAATTAGTCCCCCCGCTAACGGTCCAGTACCTTAGTTTGGTTAATGAAGGAAGGAAGGAAGCTAAATAGACAAATGATACCGTACTGACCTAAATGCAAATTTTGTGGATAAGGATCTTTTCCGCTATGATACTCCCGACAATTCCGGATGCTCCCAACCGTGGATAAACTCATAAATTATCGTTAAGACGCCTCGGGGAATCGCTATCCCCCGCCACAAACAGACGGAAATCCCTATAATACACCCCCAAGGCCATCCGTTCGGTGGAGTGTTGCGGAATAATTACTAAGAATTATACATAAACTGCACAACTTCCTGGTCACCAACGCTACAGTACCCCCAATAAAATGTGTATGCGGATTCTGAGGGAATCGTGGCAAGCCAAGACAAACACTGTTGACAAACAGCCGGCCGTTTTCGGCGGGCTTTCTTTAGCTTTTGCGGCTCCATCATATCACTTCACACTTTACGGCCCCTTGGCTAGGGTGGACTAGGAGAAAAGAAGTGAGGGGGAAGTGGCAAAAGCTTGAGGTTTTTTGAGCCTGGCAACTGCTCGGGGGGAGGGGGGCGGGTCGCCGGAAATGTGTTTACATTTTTGCAAGAATTTTAGAAAATAGATAGTTCTTGGACTAAAGAAAAAGACAGTTTCAAAAGTAATATACTTAGGTTTAGTGAATTTTCTGTGGTAAATCGGTTAAAGAATAAGTGACTGTATTGCCAGAGAAAACTAAATTCATTTAGCTTTAAATTTCAAATAGATACTGCATTAATTACCAAAAATTATTTTAAGCTTTTAAGATTACCCAAAAACGGCGCAAAATTAAATTTAAAGAAGCTACTACTCAATGCTAAAATAGTTAGCTAACTAGCTTAAAATAGTTAGCTTAGTTTATTCCTTTGCTCATAAAAAAGAGAGTTTTTAGTATTAAGTTAAAAGCAACTGAACATTATGTATCTAGGATTGTGCTGTACTTTCTAAAACACATAAATCGCGGCCAAAAAACTGCGCAAAAAATGGTGCGCCCAGGTTTGCCTTTCCACCGTCTCACTCGGCCTGTTTAACAAAAGGCTCAGATTGGGAAGAGGAGCGTGGCGTCGTCGACCCGTCTATTGTTTCACTACGCCCAGATTATAAGGCCTTTTGAAAGAAAAACAGGAAATCGAGACGTCTTTGGAATTCTGTAAGGTATGGAGGTAGCTAGTCTGAAGATTAAGGTCTAGTTGAAAACGAATAAAAATGGGTGGGGGGAAGGATTTTTGTTTTTCCGCCTATCACTAGCTGTTAATAATAAATAGGGCTTTTTATCATATTTATCGTAGTTTTTCATTGCTAAAATGCTAGTTTAAAAAATTCGTAACGTGCGCAGCTGCTGTCGGAAAGGATATGCGCGGATGTGGGGTGGATGGGTCAGAGGAGAGGCTGTTATTGTGGTGGGCGTGCATATGATTGGCGTTTTAGGAGATCCGCCCGCCAAACCATTCCTTTAGATCTTATCACAGCCCCCTAGGGGTAGGGGGATGACTAGAAGACAATGGATTAGTCGCTGTTTTTGGGGGTAATCCAAGGTTAATCTATTTAATCTCTAGATCCTAAGCCTAAGCTAAGCCCACGCCTAAGTCTAAGCCTGAGGCCAAGCATAACCCAAGCCTAAGCTAAACCCAAACCTAAGCCTAAAACTAAGCCCAGGCTTAAGCCTAAGCCAAAGCTCCTACCTAAGCCAACGTCCGTACCTAAGCCCAAGCCCGTACCTGAGCCTAAGCCCGTACCTAAGTCTAAGCCCAAGCCTAAGCCTAAGTCGAATCTAAGCCTAAAAATTAGCCTAAATGCAAGCCGAAGCCTAATCCTGGGCGTAAACATAAGTCTACGCCCAAGTCGAATCACGAACTTTTCTTTCTGTGAAGCTTTAGCTCTTGAATTTTTTGCTTTTCGCGAGCAAAGACGTTTTCGAAAGCAATTATCGACAATACGGTCATTTCCCTAGCTCCTATTAATAATTTTAGCTCTATTCCACAAACCTGCTGATCAGCCAACAACTTGGTGAGGTGCATCCCGTGATGGAGGCGCTCCTCATGTTCAGCCAATCTCTTCTCAACGCCCTGCAGCCAATTCCGCACTTCCGATCCAACAGAACCACCGCGTGATACTAAAAGAACCATGAATTAGGTTATAGGAAATCCAAATCTACCAGTACTTTCCGTGTCGGTGCTCTGTCCATTGTAGCCACCACGACGCAGCCGTAGCTGCTCCATGGCGCTGCTGATTGTATGCATACGCAGTTGGACGGTACCCTAAGTTATCGAAATTTAGCGGGAAAATAATGATATTTAGTGCATAGGGCATCTTTGGGATATAGGTAAAAGGAAATTTTTAACGATTATTTGGTTTTATTTTGGGAAATTGAGGTGTGTTTGGGTTGAATAGATGGACAGACCTGTGGGATTGGAAACTCGTAGTCTAAATCCTAGATCAAATTTAAGATATTTTAATATTTCAGCAGAGATAGCAGGATGGGAAATAAACTTTTAAAGGGCCGGCAAGGCGTGGCCGAGGTTTTTGGCACTGTAAGGTACCGTAAAAGACCGGGTATATCGCATTTTCGGCAAAAAAACCATAGGGTTCCCCTGCCTTGCCGGTCCCTTTAAAAACAACTAAAACTCACTTCAGTGTTTGGTTGATGTTCGGAGAGACGATCGCCGGCCCGTTCGACCCGTGCAGCCATCTCTTCAAGGAGTGAGCATTGCACAGATAGCTCCTGAAATTAAATATTAAAACTAAAAATATATTAGAGAGGCAGAGATAGAGAGAAATATAGAGAGAGAGAGAGAGCGCCAGGGCGGGAAAGAGAAAAGAGAGAAAGAGAGAGAGGGGAGAGAGAGAGAGAGAGAGAGAGAGAGAGCGAGGGAGGGAGTGACAGAGCGGGAGAGAGAGACAAAAAGAGAGCGATTGAGAGCGAGAGAGAGGATTACGCTGATTCTAACTTCAATTACATTCTAATTCTCTATCGAAATTCTCCATCAAAAAACGACAATGAAGCGGTGAAGCCGAGATTTTAGAGGCCTATCAGTCGGATGGAGGGGGGAAAGGGTGTTAATTAAGGGGGACTCAGGGCCGGGGCTGTTGTTTGGGGAGGCTAATTGATAAGAATATCGTGGAGAGCCACTAAGAAAATGGCGAAGAATGTTGGAATGTTGCCAAAAAAGGTTGAATCGAGCCAGCGCATGAAATCCGGGAGGGCAGAAAATTAGAAAATTTCAGGTTAAGCTTCAATTCATTTTTAAGTCTCAACAAACGCGGTAATACATAAGCATGCAAGCTATGACTAGCAATTAAAAACAAGCCGCCAAAAAGGTAGAATTTAAACCCAAGCTCCCGAGGCCTGTGAATGTTTTCTTCCCATCTGATGAAAACCAGAGCGAGAGAAAGCGGAAGAGAAAGAGACAGAGAGAGAGAGAGCGAGAGAGACAGAGGGCGAGAACTCGAGCACACCTGTTTGACTGTTTTTTGGGGGTGGTGGGCATGGTGGTGGGTGGCTTTTTGCTTGGTTCAAGGAAGGAACGATGGAATGGTGGTGGTGTCGGGATGATGGATAGGCAAGCTCGCACCTCCCTATTACTCTGACCAGCCATAAGGCTAACAAAAAACTATGTGTATATGGAGGGTGTTATAGGGCGGCGAGAGAAAGTTGTGGGATGGAACTGGACATAGAAAATTTTTATAAAAATTCAAAAATAATTGTTATAAAATTGCTAAATTTCTTTCAAAACAATTAATGGTCATAATAGAAAAAATAGCTATTCTTAGGTGGACAGTAATTCTTAAAATAAACCATATATAGCCGGAAAACAACCCTCAACCCATCCCTTTAAAATACCCAAAAACCATGCGGTACCAGGTTTTCTGAAAAGCCCGGATAAACCAACCGGATCGCAGGCTAAAAGGCAACACGGGGTAATACGGTAATTGCTGGCGGGGGAGGGTCCGATCTGGAGATCGTAAAGGGATTTCGATGGCCTCTTTCGGACCACGATTTATGGCCCCGGAATTGGGCGCGTGGCGAACGGTGGGTTCGTGGGTTTGGAAGCGCGTTCGAACGGCTCGCAATCGTCGGCGAGACAAAAGTGACACTAACGTCTCCAAATTGTGTTTAAGGATGCTAATTAGGTAATGTAGTTTGTAAGTTATATAAAATGAAATTTTGAGAGCAGAATTTAGAATTCAGAAACAGAAAAATCGCAATCACGAAATATTTACCCTATACAGCAGACCTTAAGTCTACAGTAATTTTGAGAGTTTTCTAGGAAAAATGTGCTCAGGTTGCTGAACTGCTCGAAATTGTGGGCCACCCAGAACAGAGCCAAATTTACATCCAAACTAACCAAGCTGGTAATACGGGACAATTTGTGAAGAATAGCCTGGGGTGCCGTGGAGGATAATTAGATTGCGGAGGATGGCCCGACTGGCAAGATGGCACCATTTTAGGTCAAGGGGGGCAGAGGCTAGCGGGTAACCTAAAAAGGGAGGGCTTGGTGTGGACTCGTAAACAATCAGCATTCCCGTTGAGATTAGCATAGTGGGGGAGGGGTAATTGGATTATGCCATTGATCCTATGTCATCATCAGGACAGCGTAAAGTAGAGGGAAGATTTAACGTAGATATGTAAAAATTCGATACAGATAAAAATAAGCGTGGATAAATAAGCGTGATATGAATATATCAATAAATAAATATAAAGATAAATAGATAAAAATCCTGATTTAAAGGGGACGATAATTTAAAATTTGAAAGGGATTGGCAAGTTGGCAAAATTCCAGGGCCCTCTGTGGAATAAGCTAGAAATGTGCTAGAAAAACCCCAATTAGCCGCAAGTCCGGACTAGCCGTTTTACGGTCTACGTGCGTAGTAAACACACAAAAAACGGGGATGGGGGCACAATATGGCAAAGATGGGCCAGATGTGAGGCCGTGAGGGCCAAGTTGTGGCCCTAGGGAGGGCAAGACATAAAATCGCAGGAAGCGGGTTTTGGTGTCAGCTGAGTGCATTAATGGATGAAATTGGATACCTTAGAAGAGCTAAATAAAGTGAAATCTATAACGTAGCATTAGTAGCATTTAGGAGCAAAAGAGATAGCTATTTTAAAGGAGCGCTGAACTGAGAAAAGTTTTTGGGATATTGACCTTCAAAAATAACAGATCGATGCATAAATGAAATGTTTTAAATAAGAATAATAAATAAATAAAAACAGTAGAAAATTTTCTTGGAACGATGCCAAGAAATGAGAATATGAATGGAGCAGGAGCAGAAGAATGGATATGCCAGATTGTCCAAACAACCCGAAGGGAGTGACTGGGTGCCAGCACCCAAGCCAGATGGCCCTCCGTCCTTTCCTTAGGGTGCCAAGAAAAAGCCATCCCCCCGCTCCCTTTCGCGTCCACCCCATCATTCCGGAATTACACCCAATCGACACCATTTCGCCCCTCTATGCAGCTGTGCTTGGGGGGATAAAAACATGTTGACCGTTCTTTCCTAAAAAATGGAAAGTCCAAGGGTGATTTTCAAAATTTCGAAAATCGCAATGCTGAGCATCACGATTTCGAAATTTTAGAATGTCGAATGCTCAGAATCTCGACAAAAATTCAGAATATCGAAGTTTTAGGATGTCGAAAATGATCAGACTCATAAGATCGCATAATGTCGGTATTTCAGAATATTGAAATGCAAGAATTTCGACATTTCGAAATGTCAGAACACCGACACTTCTTAATGTTAAAATTGAGAATGTTGAAATGCCGAAAATGTCGGTATTTAGCTCCCAGGAGTTTTGTACATGGTAAACTTTGAAATGTTCAAATGTCGACATTCTAAACAATCGTCGGTATTCTTAAAAGTCGGCATTGTGAATTATCCATTTTCGACACCTTGATGCCAAAGCAAAACGCAAAAATACGAACTATCTAGCAGAAATTCTCTAGAAAACGTTAAAACTCGCTAAAAAAACTATCTGTACCGCTCGGGTCAGCGCGTCGAAAAAAATCGGGCTTGACATATGGCCCTGAATCGTATCGTGGCTCCCCCGATCGGAGCCAAGAAAAAAAAGTGTTTTTCGTGCGGGGGACAAAGGCGAGATGTGTCCGCAATAATTCTCCATCAACCCCCGCACGGGTTGCGGCCGCTGCAAATTGGGCCTAAAGACAGATGGGCACGGTCGTTACGAGGATTGTAGTGGAATTTGGGTGTACGGTAAATCTTGCGTGGGAGACGGTACTGGACCGTTAGCGGGGGGGAAAACCAATTTTCGCACCAATCCTATACGGGCCTATAGCAAATTTAAAAAACCATTTTTATAACATTTTACATAGTTTTTCGATATCAAAAAAGACATAAAAAAACCTTATAAAAATTTTCAAAAACCTTTTACTTTTGTAATGTATGAAAAATCACCATAAAAGGTCCCAATTTTCGAATTTTTAAACTGTTCAAGATATTTTTGTAACTTTTCAGAAATCAAAAACTACGATTAACAGCATAGGAATACACAACAGATAGGTATAGACGGAAAAATCGTCCGCCCCCGCTAACAGTCCAGTACCTCGGGGGCCAAAAATGCGTTGAAAAGTGTGATTTACAATTAGAGTTTGTTAAAGTGATATCGAATGCTTGAAAATAGCTTTGCATGCAAATTTGTATGAATTTGGACAAATTAGTACATTTTGTCGAAAATACGCGCTATCATGCCCTTTAAAAATAAAACTTAAAAATATAATAAAACGTAAAAATAAGGAGAAGATACACAAAGCCATAAGTGGCCGGAAAGGGAAGAGGGGGTCAACGGACTCTGTCTATCTTTGTCTGTATAGGCCCCAAAAGGGAGGAATAGTGATCGGCCCGCTAGAGGGGGGTAGAGGATGCATGGTTGATTTGTCACGAATATACAGCCTGTCTCTGCCTCTCTTTTGCCCCATTCCTCAGTACCACTATTGATATGGCTAAACGGGAGGAATGGAGATTGGGATCGAAAAAACGCGGCGACCGTCCTGGGAGAGTGTTCATGGATCACAGGAAGTGCGCCTGGGAATCCAGGGTTTTTTTTGGGAGTTTTCTTATCGTAGAAAAATATGGTTTCCCGATTTCGTAAAGTTACGATCAAACTGGCTAAGCAGAGGTTCACTAGGCAGGAATTCATTATACCAAAAATTTATTACATCGAAATTTCCATAGCTAAAAATTCAAATAGACACACCTTGATTAAGGCTCATTTCAATTTTGGCAAAATATGGTTTTTAAATTCAAAATGTCGAAAATAATTTCGAAATTTCAGGATGCCGAAATTTCCGAATGTTTAAATTGATCATATTGAAATTTGATAATGTCCAAATTTCATAGTGCCGAAAATAGAAATGTCGAAATTTCAGAAAGTCGACATCTTTGTGCATAAGCTCTCTTCGGTAGAATGACCTTCTGCGTATTGAAATTTCTGGTAGGTATTAGAATGAAATTTTGGTGCTACGAAATGGACTTGAGGTATTTCTTGTGTGCGGAAATTACGGTATAATCCTAAAAGGTCAAATTCCCTAGTCGAAAAAGCCAAGCCAAACATTCACTTTCAACAAAATAGTGTGAGGAGGGAGCGGCCCGGCCCGTAATCGGTGTCAAAATCTGTGATTGGACCGGAGGAGGGGCACAAACCGTCAATCGATCCCCCCAAGGGCTAGGGACGGGCTA